AGTGAGATCGAGTTGACGAAGAATGGTAATCTCGACAGATGTGTCTCAAAAGGCCCACTGCGGGTGTGGCGGCTACGTTGCCAATTAGTCTGTTATTTCCACACGTACGTAGACCAGTCAGATTTGTGTCAAATGCCAACCTCTTACTTACACTTTGATCTATTATCTCACCCAGGCCGACGTCTTACAAAGAACTTTTTCGGAGTGCCGACCCCATGGGAAAGACTTCAACGTTCAGCTCAGCCTTCACCCCACCCAAGCCTAAGAGGAGAGGGAGAAGCACGGCCTGTTCGTGGGGTCATATGAATGCTGACGGGCCAAGGCTGATCTTTGTGCTGACGAGTCCGCCTCACGTTGATCCGGCCGCGAAGTAGATTGGCTACGAAGATCAACCCGGCAACTGACCAGAATACCTAACGGGCGGTGTCAGCTTTCTTTTTCTGCCAACTCAACCACTCTGAGGGTAATACTCGATACGCGGGGGGCAACCTGTTAGGTGATGTTGGAGGAAGAAACTGGAGCAAATTCACATCCATCCCCAGGGGGTTAATGTGATTCCTACTAAAAAAGGACCAACCCTGCTGACAAGCATGCGGCACAGGATTGTCCAGGCCTAGGAACCTAGCCAGACTCGGCCCGTCCCTTATCATGTTCTTTAGCAAGATAGTCAGATCTGACTGCACGAATGGCAACACTTCCTCCCTAGTAGTTTCAGGACTATTGCATTCCGGATGGTCAGCCGCGCATCTTGCACAGTTGACTGCTCATTCCCTCTCCTTAATTTAGTCAACCTGCGATGCGAATAACGGGCAAAACACGATTGGCCCCCACGGTGCAGTCAGCCACAAGGGTCGGTCAGCAAAATACTCGATAATCTTTTTATCTCCGCCATTGTCGTTGTTACCTTGGACCTTGGGGGGTGGGAAGTACAATACAGGCGGAAACAGGGGTGATTGGTTGGATTCCGCCGCAGATGTGTAGATGAGCACTCAAGTATCCAACTACTTTCGCAAGATGACCTACGAAACCTGACCAATAAGACGGACCTGTCGGCGCCACAGATCGTAGATTGCCTGAGAACAGCATAGAAGAGGATGTCAATATACCGTTAGATTTCGCTATCTACCACATCGGAAATGCTCCTGTACATACCCCCATCGTCTGCATTTTGTCCATATCCCGATGCACCTCGAAGCACATGCAAACTGCCGTATTCGAGTCGCCGAATATCCATACTCCGGTTAACTCTTCTACCAACCCTGACGTCTTGGTATTGAAAAAAGGCTTCAGACGATGCCGTTATGAGGAAGAGACGAGGAAGGGAAAACGCCCTTCCGTGTTCATGGCTTGCCGTCGGACCTACGGGTATTATTCAAAAGCCGAGTCTAAAGAGGTGTTAAAATGACATGCATCGTGGATACGATTCCACATGGTATGCCTTCATGGAGTGGTAATCACTCCGTGGGGAAGTTAGATATGCGCAATATTAGCATCACATATAGTACAAAAACGTAAACCGGTGAGAAGTACCTGCGCAGCTGTCCCCCATGCGCCACGAGACTCGGTCTAGGTCAGCTATGACTACCTATTTCTCGATACATATCTAAATTCCGGGGATTACAGCTATAGGTAGCATCATTTCGATTATGTGTCACCTATAATGACTCTTTCGCCTGTAATCTCATTCATTACAGCCCAGCCTTACAATCTTATACCACCCTTTCCATGTCGAGAGTGAACGCCACATTGGTTTGCCGCAACGTGTGTCACTGCCACGATATAGCTGAGACCTGAATGAAGGTCACGCGACGTAGAACCTCGTGCAAATATGCCATTTATAGAAAGCCCGCCCGAAATGACCGATCCTCTTGTGCTCTGCGGTGAAACTGAAGTAGGGTAGTTTGTTATACCGAACCCACCTGAGTTCTCTTACGATCGCCTGTTAGTCAAAGTCTTAGGCAGAGGCATCACTTAAGCTTTGAGTCAGCACCGGTGGCAGCGCTGGTCATCTTGTGTTGGGGTACGCATCATCCTCCGCCAAGCGAAATGTTATTAGCAGAACAGCTATACGGCGCGGCCAATGATTTCCAGACTGGGCATCCGGCTACACGGGCTGACGGAAACCCTATGATGTAGTCCCACATCGCTGAACAAATCACCCTATCATGACAATTTAGAGTATGTCTTGTTCGACTATGGCCAAGACTCGGTGAGGCTAGGTGAAGATGCCAAAATAGGAGTGTTCCGAGTTTAAGACTTCGGGGCCCAGCTTTGGGACCACGCGGCCCATCATCTTACGACGTTCTGTTTCGGTCTCGTACGCTGGTTGTCGCATGAAACAATTACATAAAAATAAATCAAGAATTTAAGATGTAAAAGGAGATTTAAAAAAAAGAAATAAGAGAAAGGAATTATCTTAATAAAAAAAATTCGAAGAGTCAACAGGACAAGAGACATGTCGTAGTATAAGTGGGCTTTGGGGTGTTACTACGGGGGAAGAGAACAGATCCTGGGGCCGTTTCTTATGCACCCCAGAAAATAGCGGAGTCCCTACGCGCGTACATGTCGCCTGTAGGCTGTAGGCTGTAGGCTGTAGGCTGTAGCTGTAGTCTATTTTATGGAGATACAATAAATTTTATATTGTTGGCACCTCCAACTGCCTTTGTCTTCTCTGGCTGTGGCGCTCTTCAAGGGGGGGTGTAAGGTAAAGTAAAAGGTAGCGTAGCGTTTCTTCAGCCCAACTGACATCTCTGCATGTAGGCACGGCTTCACCAGCCAAGCGGGTTCGCGATGCATACATTACAGCATTACATGCCGCAGCCGGAAAACGCCCTTCACGGCAGACACGACTACGGTACAACAAGCCGTACACCTTACTACACATGGAACCTTATAATGCCGTCCCAAGGTTCCCGGGAGATCGGTTCAGGGTGCTGTAACGGCAGCGGGTTGGTAGGAGACCCTTGCTCCTATCTCCAGTTACGCCATCGGGGCGGCTCTCAGGGCCTTGGATAAAGTCGCCGGTTAAATTTAGCCGGCACGCCCTCGACTGCGCGCCATTTAGCCGGCAGACGCGTGGACAGAAAAGGATTCGCAGGCCTTCGACTTTACATTGCGGGGTTTCTCTCTTCGCCACATGGTTATTTCATTTCATCTTATTATTATTTTTTTCTTCAGCGGTTGGCGTGGAGCGGATAGCAGCCGACGGTGTGGAAGGGTTGCTCCCGCAGGAACAGGCACGGCACTCGCGAGGAATCTTTTAAAAGGATGGGACTCGCCCTGGGATCCCGTCAGAAATATCTCCGTAGCTGCTACCGTAGCGTCGGCTTCCCGGTCAAGGGGTTATCGTAGTTAGCATTCTGGGAATGGATGGCTGGCTGGATGAATCGATGAGTACGGGACAAGACTCTTTTCTGGCTTTACCTTACTGTCCATGGCGTTGCCTATTTTACCTTCAACCATCCTGATCCTTGAATCGAGAGCTCGAACCGTGCCGCCGTAGGATCGCGGCGTTCCAACAACACAAGGCTCTGGCTCGAGGCACCTGGTGACGCTGACAGTCGAAGGGGGAAAGAAAACAGGTCCCTGACAAAACCCGGCCTTCCTCCGGCCTCGCGGGCCTTGTCTCAGGCTGCCCAACGGCGCGACTGACACACCGCGAATAATGACTGGCCAATTGCCAACCGGCGGTGAAGATTCCCATTAATCGCGCGAGCACAGGTGATGGTAGTGTGCTCAGAGTAATCAAAAAAAAACTTCTATATTGGGGCTTGGCAATGCACAAGTCGATCCCCCGGGGGGGAACCCAGGCCCAGCTCCCGTTTTGCTTGGTCTGATGATCGAATTTCCCCGCGTCCTCGGTAGAGCCTCGCCCATTACGACGTGGAGTACTGTAGGTACGAGATCTGGAGCAAGAGTTAAGACGTGCTTAATCGACACCTCAGGTTAGGTAGGGTAAGCCCTTACTTCAAGTCAGCACACCCAAATTCTTTTTTTAAAAAAAGAGTCGAGTGAATCAATGTTTCAGCGCTCTTTGGCTAGCCACCCTCCCCTCTTCCCAGCCCGTAGGATGCTGTCACGCGTGCGATGTGAGACATTTATTGACAACTCAGCCTTGGACAACTGTCTTCACACCCTCAGCGAAGATCTGTTCGGGAAAAACGGTATTCCTTCAGCCTTTCCATCATGTCTTGGAGAAGAGGATCTGGCCCTGACAGCCACATGAGCTTGCCGTGTAACCCTGGTTCTGAGATTGTATCGTGGAATAGCCGCAGGACAACCTCTACACTCCGACGATATTAGCTAAGCAGGATATTCCGTAGCCCCTATTGGCCCGATGGTTTGCAGATTGAGGCGATCCATAAACCCCATGCCGTAGATCAACGTCATGGGCGAATATCAATTCAAAAACCAGTTATATCGTTACGTAGGTAAGCTTGATCATCTTGGTGGATGCAGGTTTTTATCGAAAAGTTTGAGTACCTACAGTTTTCATTTCAAACTCGTTTCATGTTCGTATTGGCCAGGCGACTCAGGGTACTTACCAGATTCCATTCATAATTTGGACTGCAAGTGCATCAACGCAAAGGAGGGTTCATGCTCAGATACTTGAAGCGTAGAACATAGAACGTAGAAAGTCTGTCGAGATTACAAGATCAATTCTTGTTATGATTGAGTCCTCAGATAGTAGAACAATATTATGACGGACCTCCTAATACTAGCAGGTACCTAAATAGGGGCTCTAGCTTATGTATCTTAGGTAATTTTTACCTGGACACGCTCTCATGGGTAGAAGGATGATATCAGGCTGTACCGATATCAGAAAGGTCTTTTCAACTGAGATTGCGTATGGCGTTACCGCGGGGTGGGGGGACCAAGGAGAAGAAGAACGACATTGTTGCGCGAGGAGCTCTAAACTCTCTCGTCTAGAGACCACGGCATACATACAGGAAAATTCCTTTCTCTAAGTACTCCGCCCTATCGCCAGCTAGCAACAAGTCTCAACCAGCCCTCCTGACTCCATAGCTCCTAATCTCAACAGCCGGCCTAGGTAGTCTTCTATACCGCTCGCCATATCCAGGTCCAACATATCTATGATAATCAACATCAATGACGACCTTGGCCGTTACAGGTCCATTGCGTAAAATCATACTGCCAGAGAGCCACTGCTGGAAGTGAGGGTTATTCGCTGCCGAGCCGGGGGACCCCCTTGATATACCGTATAAAGTATCCCATTCAATGAATCCGTATTTGTCCCGGGGTTTGTTCGTGGTTACAGGATGGTTAGGTTGAACAACGAAGTATAAGCGCTTGATTGATTTGAACTCCCGTAAACGAAGTTTTAGCAGTGACAGGTGGCCTTGATGCATCGTGATCGCAAGGTTCTGGACGTAGTCGTAATTATCCCTGAGGAAACATATAGCAGCTCTCTCATCGGAGCTCGCACAATAGATGAGATCCTCGCTCCAATCCAAACGTGGGGGGTAAGAGGTCGGTAGCTTTATCTTCTTCGCTATGCAATATGCCTCCCTACTGATGTTTAGAGGGAGGTGGTAGCACAGTTCATTGGTGCTGGCCAGGAAAGTAGAAATTGGTATATCCGTCCGATAAGCCATTGTTCTGGCCCATATTCTATCACTTGATCCCTTCGGGCCACCCCAATCAAGAAGGACATGGATATGAGGAGGGTTTTCATAAAAAATGTCAAGGAAGTAGATACGCCAAACCATGGCACGCAGCTCGGGTGGAAGTTCTTTAAAGTAGGAGAAACCGAAACTGTAGGTGCTCCGTAGTGTCGTGGTGCCCTGTAGCACTGTCACCTCGTCCGTCTGTGTCATCTTATCCATCGTGTGAGGAGGACGACGATTCATTGTGAGGATAGAGTGGATGGTATGAGTTTATGTTTCCAGATAGGAGATTGGGAAACTTTCTTGATAGTTCTGAGAGGAACATGGTCCTTTTTCGAGTTATTTACCCCTTATATAGGTATCTATCCAAGATTATTTATCGTGAATACGAGCTTAAGAGAAGTATAACAGGTGCAATCCTAAGGTTGAAACTCTCAGGTCTGTTCATTATCTGGTAGTTCAGCTGGCCTAAGGACTATCAAAGTTCTTTCATTAAACACGTTTCTCGAATTCGGAATATGACGGTATCATTGTGAATAGTGCTTTTTGATCAGTCACTTTTCCGAACCCCTTTACAATTTCTTTACCCACTTACATTAGGAAGCCGCCACGAAACGCATCTAGACACATGCGGAATCGCCAGCACTTTTTTGTTCTAGTAGTTTTCTCAAAGCAAAGTTCTAGGTGATCATATCCATACTCCTTAGTGGCACAATAACATCTTGTGAAGTGGTTGTTTGCTGTGAGGCCTAATGGAGGGTAGATTAACTTAACAATCAATCATTATTATTACAGGAATATGATACTGAAGTCTCCGGAATGGTTGTTTTCAATTTGATGAAATAGCAAAGACTTTGAGTGTTAATGAACTTCTTTACCTATGTGCCTCTTCACTTAGATCTCTGCGGGCGGGTTTATTAACACACTTACATTCCTTGTAGCTTTGATAATGGGGATCATTAGAATAACTTCAAAGTTTATTGCTTTTATTAATCGAAAAGGAAATAGGACAGACTGTATCTAAAATAATATTGTTCGGATTTGAGCACGAATCATGCTAACGTTGAAACAGGTAGGTGTTTAATACGAATAGATTAAGTGAGCAGGCTTACCCTTGATATTAACACATAAGTGAAATGCTAAGAAGCACATTGGTTTCTCAGCAAATGCTTTTCTATACGCAGAACTAATTCCTATGTATACCATATCCTCATATACCGACATCCATCAACCGCTACGCTGGCCTACGCTTGCTATGTCCACATCAATACACAACGTTCATCCAATCGTTTCTCTCATAAATTCGTCTCAAGCACCGCCAATCCGCTGGGCTTCCTCATCTGCTTCCTTGTCAATTTCATCCACCTCGTCCTTGCTAAATGCCTGGCTGAACTTAACCCAGGGACCGTGGACCAACCCTGTGCCTGCGCCGACCAAGATCCCTAAGCCGGTAGTGGGGATGGCGACTAAGCCGCTGACCAAGGACCCGACTGTCATGCCGAGTCCGCCAGCAATGCCAGCCCCTATACCGGCGCCGGCAGCACCTCCTTGCATCCAGCCAGACTCGAGCCGCTTCGCCGTCTTCAGCAGCTTGGCGGCATTCCTGTCGATCTTGCGAGCCTGGAACTTCAGATCCTCGGCGATTGCAGGGTCCTCGGCTTCGTCGGCTTGCTTGTGGAGTCGGACGGACTCCTCTTGCAGCTTCTTAGACTCCTCGATGCGTGTCGTGATCTCCTCTAGGAGCTTCTCCTTAGTCGTCGGCCTCTTCGGCTGGTCCCCCTTGTCTTGCTGCCCATTGGCTTCCGCCATAGTCGACCTGGGCAGTCCCACGTCGTGAAGTCGAGTTACAACTGTGAATAGGGGGCCTTTAAGGGGTGGAGCATCAGCCTCATCTGTTTAGGGAAGGTTCCTCTTTTGGAAATAGGGTTCCAGTTATTGTGATGTGGCTTGATAAGGTTGAGGCTCCATCGATGAGGAAGAACGTTGTCTTGCATGTGGAGATAGCGAGAAGGTCAGAAAAAAAGTTGTGGCGCTCTATGACGTCGTGCAGAATCACTAGTTGCACAAAAACTTGCAAGACTCAGCGATCTATTGCTCTTAGGTAATCGCCGAATGACTGCATTGGTTGTTACAAGTCTGCAACCTTATTATCTCAAAAGAATAAATAGTTTGAGGTGGGCATACGAAGACCAATTGGACCAGTTGAGGCTAACTGGTTCTACTCATCTCGTAAGATCGATCTGAGCTTCATCACGCACATACAGTACGCAGTAATAGACACACATGATAGAATGATGTCAGCCGCTAGACAGTTGTTACCAGATCAACTATAATAAGGGGTTTAGAGAAACAGCATATGACGAAAGATTCAAAGTTCCCCAGACTTGTGACCTGCAACTGCCGCCGCTACTGTGTTAGGTAACGTAGGAATGACCCAATCATAGTCATTATGTAATGATATGTTATGTACATAAGATGAAGGACTTACTAATCCCCGCCAATCATTTAATTCTCCATATCTCCATGAAACAGCATAAAACGGAGTATAAGTTATACCCGATTAATGACACACCGCATTGACGACTTAAATCGATCATTTGACTTGCTTTGAAACTAATAATAGCCCCATATATACTGGAACGGTTCAAACCTTTTTGGCCAATGACCAATTGGGCGGGACCGTCATCTTAATTACTGTCATCCTTTTTTTATTCCGTACCTCATGGCCTTACTAAGAACTGCGACATCACCGTCGCGTTGGGTTCTCAACTGAGCAACCCGATCCCGTGACTGTTTCGAGCTCCAGATCTTCCCAAGGTCTTAACCATTGAAGACTTCTGGGAGCCTCTGAACCGTAGTTCGCATGAGCTTGGGTTATTAGTCATTTGATTGTGGAGATGTAGTTCATGTACATGGCTACCTTGGACCTTGGTACGGATCGATGTCAACTGGTACGTTCATTTCCTTAGTGTCCAGACGTTTATCCCCCCTGTTTTGATTTTATTGTATTTTATTTTATTATTTTTCTCGGGAATACTCCCGTATGTACTATCGTATTCTGTATACTTCATCGATCATCAACGGGTTGATATCCCGATCAGATATCACACAATCATCACACACCTCTCGAGGCACACACGCATAGAGGATTTGCCAACATTCCATCACATAACGTCGGTGTCTCTTTTTGTATCTTATTGCATCGTCTTAACTAACAATTATATATGAAGCAAAATTTTCATCACTCCTTTGCCAATAACGAGCTTGCTATAAACAAATCCTAAACAACAAGCAAACAACCACGAAATAGTTACCAACGGAGTGAACTCCGGTGAGATCAGGATGCGATCCCATTGTCATGGTTCTGGGAGGGCTGGGGGTGAGATATCCTAGCCACGCTAATATGGACCATGTACCCACCGAAGAAGGTACAGAATAAACCCATCGATGGCCAGGAATAAAATGAAATAAAAAAGAATAAAATATTCTCGATAAAAAATAAACTATCGAGAATATTCGATGACACCACTGTCCCCCGTCTCACGCACGGTCTCTTCATGGGCACTCCTAACCCATATCTCTGTACTTGGGACGACTGGGTTGCTGTATCCTGTTTTGCCCTGGGGGGACGAGGGCTGGACATTGAAATGACACCAACGGGCTCTCAGACGTCCCTGTTAGTGAACCCGCGAGGCGGGTGAGCTTCCGGCGACAAGGCCTTGCGCGATAGTCGAACTTGTCAAAATCCGGCCAATTTCTTTAATCCGCGCACATTTCCTAATCCGAACCTTGGACCCGTTGGCCATGACCTGCGCCATCCTCCTTGTAGAAGAAGGCTAGACGAAGCGACCGACGCTTAGCTTAGCCGACGAGCCTGACGCGCAAACATACCTTCTAGAAGGAAATTCGAAGCGTTCGGCGCTGCTTCTGACACTTTGACGGGAACGTATTTTCGCCGAAATCTTTCGTTTCGCCAGGCGGAGTAGTGCTTGATCCCACCAACCACGACTCCTCCCACACGCCCCTGAAACCCTCGTCATAGCGATCATGTGGAGTTCCCATTTAAAGCTGTTCACTATCTCTGTAGACACCATGCCGAAAGCAGATTCACTCGCATGAAGCCTTGGAGGACTTCGTGTTCTAGAGCACCGACTACCCTATGCTCCATGATTCTTATCGCGCCGCCCATGAAGTCATATCAAACTAAGGGACTATGCTCGATCAGGCGCCTTCCCCAGGTTTGCAATTACGGGGAAGACACCGGACGCAAGTCCGGTACTCTAGCAACTCAGCGATACTGCTCGGTAGTGCCGCACTATGTAATCTCCCATGGTGTTTCGTCTCTCCGTCATAATTAGCGACAAATATTAGAACAATCGACCCAGGGCCTTGGATTTGGTTGTGCCTGTCGATGCCCAAGGGGGCTCTGGTGGATATCACCAGCCCTATTCAGCGATCCCAATCGCGCGGCACCGGCTCGTACACTACTGGAGAGAAGTGTAAATAATGGAGAATGTTAGTCTCGGGGCCCTTGACAAGACGACATGTTCGGTTAAATCAAGAGCCCTACTACACTATGTGCGGCGTAGATGACGAATTCCACTCTGTTGGGTATGCGTATCGTCAAGTCAATATTAGTTACAAGCTGTAATGTAAACCATAGCTGGGTGAGGCCAAGATTAAGTGTCCACTTCCCTTACCTAGTACCTTTCATAATAGTGTTGAAGTCCAATCGAAAGGTAACCATCGCTAAGGCTCTAATCCTTACAGTGATACCGAGTAAATGGTCCTCCTATTCAATAGCATGCCTTGGGCTCGTTCACGTGGACATGAATCCCCATGTCGATCTGTGAGGTTATTTCACATGAATACTGAAAAAATAACCGCGAGATAAATTCGAATAAATTCATTTAATTGTTTTTTATTATTGAAACGTGAAAAAACCACCCCTGTGCATTCGAATTTAAAGTGAAAATAAGCGTTATCTCCCTGTCAGGGCCATCATCCTGCGAAGACACCAACATTAGGCCCTCGCATGGATTGTGTATACCAAATTTATCCTTCTACGTAATACAGAAGCAAAATCAAACTAAAGTCATCCTCAACGGCAGTTTGGTAGCTATATAAAACACTGACTTATGCCAACTAACGCTTCATTGCTGTTAGCACGGCCAATAATGGACAATGATTTACAAACATGCATATATATAGTACATGTGTGGTAGTATGGCAGCAAAACGTGTCTGCATTGAGACATAATAAGAGCCCGCGGGATCTACCTAGTTAGTAATCGACTACGGCAATGTGAGACCTTCGCTGGAATCCTTCTACGAACGAAAGAAGCAAAAGGGAATGAAACACACCATGATGAATTATGCAGGGACCAACAAAACAGTAACTCCGATGGAACCAACCCATGTGGCATTATCGTGTGCAAGGATTTCCAACTAAGGACTCAAGTGGCCAATGAATTGCATTATTTTTTACCCCCGGTTCGAGTCTAACTCGTGTCTCGCTCGGTGAGAGGCGTGACTGGCTTGAATCAGTCACCTCTTTCCGGAAGGGGAAGGTGAATAAGCTTCTCCCTGCCTAATTCGTAACCTCATGAACCCTTGACCATAAGATGGGTGACCCCCAAATGGAAACCCCCCCCATCCACTGCCATCCTGGAGGGTTCACGTTTTGCTTTTGGGGTTCCTGTCAGACTGTCAGAAGCTTAAGTAGGGGCCAAGCCAATGAGATCGCAGCCTCTTCCCGTCCCGCCCTACGGATATTACCGTACCATCACTGCGTGACACAGCGTGATGGCGCGACGACGGGTTGGGGGATATGGGGGTCGAGCGGGAAGATGGGACCTCGTCATCCCGCGCAGGATTTCGATAACTCGATTCTGTATTGTAATAATATGGAAGGATAAGAGTCGGTGTGTTGGTTAGTAAGGTAAAAGAGAGAGAGAGAGCCGTAGGAGCCATCCATGAATGTCAGCCATGCATGAAAAGTCGACGGCTTAACAAATCAACTGACCATTTATCCCGCTAACACCCTAAGCAGCACCCTAAACATTCCAAATTGACACGCATACCGAGGCTTACCTAACTTTGAGTTGCTCTAGCGAGAGGCACATGCGGCGCACATGTAAGTATGTCGCAACGAGTACACATGTATGCTCCTCCCTCGGTCCCGTAGTATTCTTATCGCCTTTTAGCTCCACGGAATACTGCATTTGGCGGACGCTATTCTATTGCCAGTCACCTGATTGGCTTTCGCTGCATGTTCCTGTCCGCCTCCCCAGATTTGCGTCGGCATTTGCGTAGTACGTACACGTGTAAGGGGGGCCAATAAGGACTGCGCCGTTCCAGTGGGGACGACTGAATTCGCTACACCTTGCAGCTCTGCGAAACGCGTTTGGCACATTGAGACATTGGGTCGCCCTTCCTAGCCTGCCTATCAATACATGCACTGGGCAGGCCGGTTGTACTATTGCATGATGTAGCTACTTCTGCGATGGAGAAATGGATATGTATGTAGATATGTATTACATAGGAGGCTGACGCCTTTACCGCACATTCACCACTCGCGTATCTTCCATCGCGAACGCCACCGCCGTCCGCGTGGATTGCGTGGATTGCTTACCTACATACTGCGCGCCAATACACTAATTCCTCAGCCAATGCTGACCGACGAACACACCGGTGTTGGCAAAGGATCTCGCATACGAACGCCGCACGCCCTAGGCAACGCCGACGGCTCGGGCCAGCGCCACCAGATCGAAGATCGAATTTCCTCTTTTTCATAGGCCACCAACAAGTTACACAGTATCCGCATATATCTAGATTTCGTCTATCTCTCTTGCACCTCCTGCTTGGGAATATCGCCAAAATGGGAGCGGAGTCGTGCACCCGCAAATTCTGATAGAATTCGCATGTAGTGTATGTAAGCGATGGAGTCGTCGTCCCGGCCCTGTGAATAAGAGTCCATAATTTAACAATACCCGAACCCAAGACGTTGGGCTCGATGGGCGCTGGGGGAAGGGCCGATACGCTATGGATTTCGTTAGATGCTGGAACAAGTCGCCAGGGCCACGTCCTCGGGCTCGCTAAGAGCTTAAGTCGGTGCCAGGACGACGGGTGTTGGGTATCCGCGCCTCCTTCGCCGCTTCGCTTGCGATGCCCTACTACACTATTAACCTAGGTACGCCGTTCTATGGTCGAACATCTGTATATGGTGGGTAAGAAGTTAATCAGCATTATATTATCGCCAATCTCCCTTCACCCGTCCCGTAACGCCGGTGGAGATTCTTCTTTCTACTTGGGATGTGTAAAACATGGGAAAAAGGCGAAGAAGCATAGACGTAAATTTGTAGCGTTGGTCGGCTATCGATGATCAAAAACGGAAAGAGGCTCGCGAACGAGAGTGCCCTGTTTCTTGCCCTAAAATGGTACCCGGTGCAGGCAAAAAGTTCCCGGTCATAAATGATGTCGTGATTATTTCTTGTTCGTGAACCAGGGGGACTGGGGGAAGGGGGCAGGGTCAGGGGAATTCCGTTTGCGGCTCCGCCAGTAATGCGACGCTGGGTTCCAGGCGGAAGGAAACAGGATGCATCCGCGAGGTTTTGGACAGGGGATGGGTGATTCCCCGTTCGAACCAGGGAACGGTAGTTGATAAATGATAAATGGAGAAACAGGCTCGTTTGGGAAATCAAGAATCAGGAAAAGACCCCGTCCACAGCACCCGAATGCTGGCGAGGCTGGTCCCAAGGCCGTGGCTTGGGACAAAGGTTCGCATGGACTCTGGAGAACGCTGGAATATGATGTGTCGTTGTCGCTTCAGGGATAATTGGAGAGTACATACAAGGGTTCACAATACAGCAATTCAACGATGTAAAGTACCGACGCAGAGGCACCGGGATAGGTGGAGACGAACGAGATATACAGGGACTATCAAATAAAATAATCTTTTTTTTTTAATATTTTATTATATTTATTCTTTTATTCTCAAGTTCGAGAGAATAAAATAAAATAACATATTGCGATAACATTCCTTGGTATACCCTCCGTGCGGCAAAGGCGATCCCGAGTGGCACCGAGTTGTCACATTACCAAAACTCTTGCCTGCCGGCTTCGATGCTTCGCTTCGAGGCAAACAACGCATATCATTCTCTAATATGAGGCTACGTTACCGTGGCCGAACCGAACCCTCATAACGGCAAGTTGCCGCCGTGCGATGTGTCTTCAGTAAGAGTCGTGAGCGATATGATGCTGCTTAAGGCTGGAGATGAAACATTGTGCTCAGATGATGACGATGTAGCAAAATATATTCCAATGAAATGAAGAAGCTCCATGTGGTGAATAAATGCTTGAATAAATATTGTGCTAATGATCATCGCGTATTAAGCGCCATCGTAGCATCTGCCGACTTGCGTTAAGCGCTTAAGGCTGCTCGGCGCTTAGCATTCTACCTATTTATTAGATGTTATATCGGAGTTGACTGGGTACCTACTTGCTCGACAATGGAGGCTATCCAGTATCCATCATGAGGAAAGAGGTCTCTGGTATCTCTAGTCACCTATTACCATTGGATACCTATGGACACTGCCAGGTAGACCTTACGTACGAGGTCTACGAGGGTCGATAACCAACCTATTTACGTACCTAGCTTAGTTCTAAGTCTGCTATTATACGGAGGTCCATTGGGGAAAGGGGTCACTTAAAAGATTACCTGCGTACGACAATATAACCTCCATAGCGCTTAATCAAAACAATTAGAATCATTTGCAGATAAACTCGAACTTACATAGGTAAAATACTAGCTGAAATCCTCCCCAAGTAGGAAAAGGGGCACGAGTTCAACTAGATAGAATCATGATCAAATGCCATAAGGGTGTTAGGGGTAAAACGTATCATTAGCAGTCGTATATACGGGCGTCTGTGTGAATAGCCAGAGACAATATTAATCGTGGAAGCTGCTGACAGAGTTTGACCCGAGACTAGCTCAACAGCTCTAGGCCTTATTCCGCAGCACATAGAACAGACCTCATCATCACCTTCAAATCATCAGTACAAACACAGACACAGATACAATCTCCGCCAAACTCACACAGCCATCCCCTACACCCACCGCCCCTTAGCCCCCTCACTCCCCCCAACACGCCTAAACTTCCTCTTATCCTTCCGACTCATCACCCCCTTATCCCTCGTCCCCTTCCCGCCCTCCCAGAACCCCCTGCCCCTCTTACCCACCACGCCCCTCCCACAAAACCCGCACGTATCGACCGCGTACCGCTGCTCCCTGCTACACCAGCCGCAAACCATCCTCTCGGCCCTTTCCTGCGCGTGGTCCGCCGCCTCCGCCGCGTCGTGGCACCGGTCGCACGCGTACGTCTTCCCGCAGCACGAGAAGCGGAACCAGCGGTACGAGCGCCTGTAATGCGCGCACGTGCCGCGCCCCGGCAGCGGTTCGCCGGGGCGCAGGCCCAGACGCTCCCCCCCTTCCTCTGCGCGGTGTCTGTGTGCTGATGTAGGTGGCGGTGGCGCGGCCCCGGGAGTGATGGCGAGGAATTTGACGGTCGGGATCGAGAAGGTGAAGCGCGCGTGGCAGTGACGGCATATGTTGGTGATGTCCTCGCGGTGGATGGCGAGGAGCTGGTGGCTGGGCTGCGAGCAGTGGCCGCAGGTGGGGATGAAGGTACTGGTTACGCGCGTGTTAGAATATAGATTCTGTAAGTAAGCCCCTACCCCCTATCTTCTTACGTAATGTCCGCGGCAAGAAGTGGGTAAACGGCGAAAGGAAAGGTGAGGAAAAGGGGAAGAGGGGAACACACCTAGGCAACATATCATTAACAGTGCAGCCTGCCACGTCGATGAACCCGGCTCTAGCAGAGTTCTGATGCACCAGCTCCGGGCGGAATCTGTACGCCAACGGCGCCCTGCATTTCGTACAGCTGCCTCTCTGTTCTACGTTCGGCTTCAGGTGAGCCGCCACGTTCAGCGTCTTGCATCGCAGACACTTGACGTGGAGGCCCAGCTCCGCTATCTCGAGGAAGTCGACGCGGGACAATTCGACGTTGGGGAACGATATCGCGGTGCCCTTCTCGACGTGCTCTTCGCCGGGCGGGAAGACCAGGTCGTTGCTTTGGGTCTGGTCTCCCGTGTCGACGGCCGCGCCGCCGTCGGACTCGTCCCCCGAGTCCCAGTAATCGCTGTCGGAGTCCTCTGACTCCTCAGCAGTGTTTCCGACGTCCCATTCGGGAGGGCGGGGGATGACGCGGATGTGGCTTTTCTCATCATCGATGGTTGGCGGAACTGCCTCCTTTTGGCCCGTACCCTTAGCTGCACCATTAACCGACTGGTTCTCATAGAGACGAGCAAAGTTGGGTGTAAATCCGACGCCGCATTCCTTAGCAATCAAGTGCATAGAACACGCGAAGTGATTTAAATGCGTCGTCAAAGCAAAATGCTTCTGTTGAGCGGCCCTCTTCGTGAACTCTTCCTCCAGGGGCTCTGCGTCTTCCGAGCTGATATTGTTGATGAGTATCTTAGGTGGTTGTAAGGGATAGAGTAAGGGAACGATTAACTGGACTGTTTGTATATGTCTTAATCGATGGGGCATCTCTTCCGGTTGACTTGGTCGTAGACGTAACGTATAAACCACACCATCTGCAGACTTCTTGTAGAAAGGCACTTGGCGCATTCGTGCCTCAAGTCGTCTGGTGTCTTCGGCGCGTCTTGCCCTTGCCTCCGCAATCTGTTCCTCTGTAAAACGTTCCTCTGGCACATAGGGCTTACGAGGCGCCGGTGCTGGTTTTGGCAACGTCTTAATTGCTGAAACAGAAGTCTCGCCTAACTTGGTTGCTAAATTATCAAGATGCCGCGTGTCTTTGAAGGATACCATGGTTAAAGTCTCAGCCTTTCGCTCGGAAAGGAATGCTTCGAGGTTTTTGTCCAAAGCATTAGTCAAGGCTAGAAGAGTAAAGCCTTGATTATCTCTAACGAGCCCATCCCATCCCTTCTCGATGTTGACGGCGAATCCGCGAGGGATATCCTTGTTCTTGACTTGCAGGACAGGAAGTTTCTCTGGATAAGATGCTGGAACCCGGAGTTCGCATGCTAGATGATTCAACTCAAAAGGAAAATCCGGATCTGATGGTTTGAGTTTAAAGAAGAGATTTGTTGTGCCGTCTTGTAGCGTATTTTGGGTAGGAGAGTAACGCTTCTTCATTTGATCCAGTTGATACCTTCGCGGGTCTTGGGTTTGAGATTCTGGAGTTGGTCTTGATACAACATTACCAGTAGGGGGGCTGGCTACAGCCTGGCGACCATCAATGGTCCCTTCAGGGATATCTTTCGTTGAAATCATGATAAAAGGAGTTTTATCACGTAAGAAAAAAGGGAGGTTTGTCAAGGGGAACAATCTTCAACTAGCAGAATGAGCCTCAGCAAGCAGCTCACCAAGTCTGAAGAAGTAATGTGAAAGAGAGAAAGATATTCATACATTTAAATCGGAAGGGATATGTGAGGCATCTGTATATTTGTTTATGTATCTAGCTACTTGAGGCCGATGACCCAACCCAAAATTGACGGCTTCATTGTAGCTTCGGAGAAAGGTGTAGAGTACAAATACGAAGACTTTCTGTGATTCGTCGCCACTCTCGTTCTCCAGTCCGGTTCCATCCCTGGTCCGTGCACCAGAATGCTAACAGTTACATAATCGTCTTCTTAGGGAATAACTGAAATAGATTCCAACGTACCGGCTTTCACATTAGGTCAGCCCTTCGTCTGCGAATACTCTTCTACTCCTCCGGCCCATCTTAAAGCCATATAACTCCGTAAAGCTACAAATCTGCATCATGGCACTGAGGCTCATATGCTATGAAGATTGCCATGAATTATTGACTCCTAGTCGAATGAGGCATTAAAAGTGGTAACACTCATCCGCAACGGGAATCAATGTGTTGTAGAGCGACACGTCCCATTTGTCTACAACATATGCCGTTACGCTGAAGTTGAAATCTGAGCGAAGCTCGAATCCGCTGTTGCATGTGACATTCCTCAGCGAAAGCATATGATCAGCCTTCCTGACATGCGACTGGCTTTTCGCAACGTTGATCTCGTTTATGAACTGTGGTTTCGCTGCGACCCCGCCCGTGACGTTGAAGAGGCCATTCAATATATCAAGGGACAGCTCGACGGAGAAATCGACATATGGAGATACATGACCCGAAGCAGCCTTCTGGGTGCTCACGGACGACGTGAGACGTGGTCCCCAACCGACGGCTCGCGAATTGGCATTGTTCAGGAAGTCCACATGCACATGGCCATCTGGTATTGACACTGTAATATTGCTACTGTGTACCACAGGACCGGTAGAACCAACATCGGCGCCAATAACCCAATGAAGTGCTGGCATGAGACTGAAAATACCGGGAATATTGATCGCGCTCGGCAGGAATGTCCCAGGAGTGAAGGCAAAATTGCTGTTGTCTACAGGCCCTGTGAGGTTGAAAGTCATAGCCAAGTTTCCGAAGAAAGCTGCATCTATGTTAAAATAGAGACTCTGAAGTTGTTGAGTGGGAACATTGAAATCGAAATGGCCACGAATTACAGCGGCGTCGCTCAGATAACCACCATTGGCCACAGTAGAGAAGTTCGGCTCCTCTGCGAATATTACCGTCCCAGAAGGAATTGAGAAGTTGGAAGCAATGTTGAGCCCAGGTTCGTCAAACGTGATGTTTCCATCATTATCCACCATCGATTCCTCTAAATGGGCGAAATCGACCCCTATTAACACTTTGAGCCGGTATTAGTACAAACAACAATGTTAACCTCTCGTGTCATATGAAACTTACTTGCTATGCTAGCCAAGGTTGTCTTCTGTGCCTGAGCCTTTACAGTCATGGAGTCGTTGTCCCAGCTAAGACCGGTGACCTGGTAGATTCCCCTCTCGCTCCAAGCATCGCAATTACCCAAGTGGTTCGTGATGAGATAAAACTTGCCGTCGCTTGGCCATGCCGAGGTGGCATGCTCAAATGCGTCTGTAGTATGGAATGTGACCGTCACCATGTTGCGAGTACAGAAAACACTGGACACCGCACCGATCGCCTCAAGAAGTACTGTAGGTTGGTTGGCTTGTAGGTTAACGGTGACGCTGCTGAGGGGGTCCATAGGGACGTCCAAGCCGTCTATGCCATAGTCAAGGCTGACGTTGGTAGATGGTACAATGTTAGCAAGCTCTGTCTTGTCATAGCTGGGAGCTAGAACTGGGTGCAGGTCGAAATCATTCCATGTAGAGACGACGGTAGCAGCCAAGGAGGCAAAGCATCCCAAATATGATGTCGATCTCATGATTGCCGTGTTGCTTGCCAAAATATCAAGGCGTAGTAGCGAGCGAAAGAAAGGAATGTGTTTTAATGGAGTGAAAGACGATCAAAAGTGAGAGGCCTCAGCAGAAAATGGCAGATATCCTCAAGTCATTTGCTGTGTTTCTGTTTGATGAAGTTCAAATTGTTGTAGGTGTGAAGATCGAGAACAGAGATTCTCGGGCTAGTGACTTGGATCTTAATATTGATGGTCGGCTCCTTCCGTGCCTCCTATGAAGACTCTGTACGTATATGAAACAAACTCTGAGCAGAGGGTTGGCTGTTATCAACCTGCGAGAACTTGAATTCATTAAGTAATTAGGTTACGCACTTTGAGCTTCTCTTACTTGCCACTTCTTCATATGGTAACTTCGCCTTCTCAATACAGAACAGATTTCAACTTAAGTCGAACCAATTACTGAGGTAGTTGCCTCGTAGCCAACGTTAGTCGAGTGTAAGTAGGAGCTAGAGATGTATTGCTACGGTATGATGGATATTTGATCCGATACAATCCGGTATTGGAAACTACACCCGCTTGTAAAAGGGCAGCTACTTACCTAGTAGGCATGTAATGAGTTGAAGAATCATTAAATTTAGGTAGGGACGAGATCATTAACAGCAACTGCGAGGGGATCATGTGGAAACTATGCTCACATTTGAGTTGGCAAGGGAGTTATTCAGGAGCGCTAATAGATCGCGACTGACAGATGGTCGATAATCGATTCAATCGATTGATGTTCAATAGATACGTACCTTCAATGTTATCACAATAAACACCTTCCAGTTAAAAGGGAGGGGTGATATTTAACTTCCCCAGGGTCAATGGCCTGCGTATTCGCGAGAATCCAATTTGCGACATTCGATTATCCCTTTAACTTATATCCGATGCTATCATTTACGCTGCATAGTTGTTGTTACTAGAAAGAGCTTGGAGCAATTCCAGAGTATAGGTATTGAATAGGGGTAAGCTACCTAGGTACCTATGTAGGTATGTAATACAGAATTAAAAAGACTTGGGTGCTGAACAGGTAGGTACATAACTCTACCTATGATTGGCAAAGTTTTAATAGGCCAATATTTCCATCCTCTACTCTGTTAAGCAGTGAACAATCCCTATGAGGTAAGGCTTTTCATCTCTTATCCCAATCTCTTAGTCGCTCACAGCTTCCTCGGATTTGGTTGCCTTATTATCTTCATCTTGGGTCAACTCGTCAACAAGAGCCTGGAAAGCTTGTCGTATCTGAACCTGCTCTGTCGCGGTGAGAGGGATTGCGCTTCCCCGCCGGCGGCGCCAGCTTGGTTGGGTCTCCTTCAGGGACGCCTCAGGGTCTTGGCCGGTTGGATCCTCGAACTCATATGAACGAAGTTCGGTGTTCTCCCAGCCGGTACCTGCCTGTCGTTAGTAGCTGATCTCGATACAATATCTGACAAAGAGGGATGAACAAGTCGCATACCTTTCTCCAGCTTAACGCCATCCCAATCCCGCGTCAAGAAATGAAGAATACCACCGTGAGTGACGAGAACAATCTGCGCATCTTCTCCGGCCTTGTTCGCCAAGTCTCGGAGCCATAACCTAGCCTCCCGCGACCTCGCCTCGAGGTTGGCTGGAGTGGGATAGTATTTGCTTCCGCTCGACTTGTCGTTCCAACCTTTCTGGACCAGATGCAAGTCTACCAGATCGCCAAACTCCCCCTGAAGTTTCTCGGGCTCCGAGCCAACATCGCAGGGCAAGGTTGAGATTTCTTGAGCATCTGGCAGAGCGATCACCTTCTTACCGGACTTTACTACCGGGTCGAAAGAGCGCAGGCAAGTCCACAGCGTCCGCCGAATAGGGGAAGCGACGAGGTGGGTTATTTTATCGTGAGCATCAAACTTCTTGCAAAGCTCCTCGCACTGAGTGATACCCAGAGGAGTCAAGTCTGGATCCGATAGTTGCTGGTTTTCCACGCTGAGATTGTGAAAACCCTGAGCGTGTCGGACGAGATGGATGATTGGTGCCATTGCTGCGAAGGGGTTGAGTAATGTACTAGAGAACCTTGATGACAACTTGGCGAGGAGAAAAGGACTGATGTTGAGAGGTATATATCTATTTTCGTTCCATTAGTGTTTGAACTATCTATTTGTCAAAGTGCCTGTTCCTTAGATGCATACCGCTTGGCTCAGAGCTTATTTGGACCACCGATGACTGTTTGCGACCCGATTACGCTGAGCCACGAGGCGTTGTGGAAACTCTGATTGGGTTGAATCTTCTGTAGTCTTAGACCAGTTCGCCTAAGCTACAGAGCACGATGTATCCGATAAAGGACGTCTTGAATTCTTAGGAGTCACTGGAAGTTGTAGGAACCCGAAGATCGGCAACTCAACGATGAGGTTTCAATGGTGCACATAGTGAGCTTTATAGACAACGATTATTGGATTTATTAAGGCTTTTATATGACACTAAATCAACAGAGATACATCGTCTCTATTCAGTTTCTGAAGGATTTCACTGACCTCTGGCCTTCTGCCCCTCACGAGACTCAATCCTCTTTGTCTGATTTGGGGTTGTCGCCGACAAGGTGACAAAGTTGAACGCCGCGATGATACCTCGCAGATTTCCAACAAGCTTATCTTGCTAATTACCTGGCAGATCGGCGCTATTGTCGGGTTTAAATGAGTGCTAGCTTAGTAGGCAAACTACCTAGAGCTAGCTTGGCAGTTCGCTTTCGGAGGAGTAAAAATCCCTAATGAGAAAAAAGTTACGAGGTATCCTGCAAGCCACCTTGTCTGTCAATCTCAAATCTACCCCAGATCAGGATCAGAACGTCTTAGGTAGGTAACCGTAGGAACGCCTGCAGTGCTGGAACGTGCCTCCGTACCTACGTATGTGCAATATGTGATATGTATCATGTATGAGATACGGAGGTAATACCCAACGTAGTGGCGTACATGTAAGGAAAATAACGAAATTCCCGTCATCTTGGTAGGACTTGGTAGGACTCGGAAAAATTACCTACCGGTATCTATCTGTCTTCCTGGATCCCTTCTAGCCTTCTCTGTGTACGAGCTCCTACAGGTGATGTAGAAATTATGATGTGACTATTTCCAAACTGGCCTCTTGCAGCAGCTTAGCTTGGCCTTAAAAGCTGCAAGAGAACTAAAACCCCTGAGATTTCAGCGGCCTTATGGGCCTGGCCCCCTAAATGAGCAGCTTGACGGTGGCGCTGACTGGATCACTGTTAAATGTAGGGGGGCTCGTGCGTCCTGCATTGGATTGGCAACATTAGGCGCTAAAATGCCAGAACATGCGTTTCATGGGGGGACGCTGTCAAGGATGCAGCTCTGGCCCTGGCGCTGCTGCTTTCCACCTTATCGATTCTCCAATTTTAATCTCGACTTTCCCCCAAAACGCTCCTCTTACCTTTCTTCCTTTCTTGCGACAACAATAAAAGTCCACGTAACTCTTCGACAAACTACATCCGCCTCGTCTTAACTTTGTCGTCAAGCAACCTGGTCATCAAACAGAGACACTTCGAATACCTTTCTCTAATCCGTAACCATCCAATACCGCAATCATGCCTGGTGTTCGTAAGTGAACCCCTATGACTCTTTCCTCGATTCGTATAAGAGTGTAACGCGTACATTGGCCACGATGACAACGAATCATCCCGCCTCCGTTGAAATGCACGAATATTTCGTTCCGAGCGTTTGGCTCAAGAAGATGATATGGCGGGCTGTCGTTCTCCTTATCGCGATGTCCTCAGTACCTCGGTAGACTTGCGAAGGTTCATGCTAACATGGTTAATCCATCGCAGCGAAGGACGCTCTTGACAACTTGAAGGCCAAGCTTAAGAAAGTCTTCAGCAAGCCCAAGAAGACTAAGACCGCCGATAAACCTGCCGATAAGCCTGCCGACAAGCCCGCAGAGGCACCCAAGGCTGACGCTGCCGCCCCAGCCGCCGCCGAAGCCTCCAAGACTGAGGCTGCCCCGGCCGGTAAGTTCTCGATCCCATCTTCCGTCGAATCCCTTGTAGTCGCATACCAAAGGTATGGACGATCGAGCTCATGCTAACCGTTGAAATAGCAGCTCCCGCCGCCGCCGCCGAAGCTCCTAAGGCTGACGCTCCAGCTGCCGGTAAGTCCAACCCGAACCCCTCGTTTCATGCTCAAGGTGCACAAATGAGGTTCCCCGCGGGGGGCGCTTCTGCCGTGTTCCACACGAACAGTTTCGCTTGCGTGTCCGTTGGCTTGAGATGGGTATCGCAACGTGTAGCATCGCTAACAATTTCCCCGAAACAGAGGCTGCTGCCCCTGCCCCCGCCGCGCCTGCTAAGGCTGAGGAGGCCCCAAAGACCGAAGCGCCCGCTGCCACTGAGGCCGCTGCCCCTGCTGCTGCCCCAGCCGAGGCCCCAGCCGCCGAAGCTAAGCCCGCTGAGGAGGCCAAGCCCGCCGCGACCGCCTAAGCCCACATCGCCCGCAATACGCGTCGGCTTACGGTAACATCCGCTCGTATGACGAGTCCTAGATAAATTACAGTAGCTTAGTTGGACAGGTGGTCAGGATTGCCTCAATGGCATTGAACTAATAATATTTGTGCTTTTCTTTTTTGTGCCGGATTGGTTGAAGTGCGGAGGATATTCCCAGAGAGAGTTTTCGGTTTGAGAGATACCCAAAGTACCTAGTAGCTTCGAGAAACAATGGACTTTATTCTCGATCTAGACTGTACCTACGGATTGCCGACTATGGTCTTTATCGCGATTGCGATTTTATCTACACGTGATACCATTGGCGCTTGGGCCAAGTAGAATATCCCTTTTTGCTAGCGCTGAGAAAAGTCATACCCACGTGATTTAGCGTCCAGCTCAGTGAGCGTAGCAGGTCAGTAAGGAGAAGGAAACAGCCTGGGATATTTAAGGCCTTGGTTGACTTAGCTTATATAGTTCATGGTCTTTGAAAATATGATAAAGCTTCGTATTAGTTAAAGCATTCCAACATATGGGATATCAATTTTCAACAAGGCTTTAGACCCTAGAGTCCTATATTCTAGTTCAAAAGCCAAGGAGACAGATTATCAAGAGGCTTCTGACTTGAAACGACTCCATATTCAAATGAGCGAGTAGTAGCACGGTTGAGGTTTCATTGTAACCGTCTAGGTATGTAGTTAGATATACATCTACGTTACTCATGGTAACCACAATTCTACCTGTGATAAACCCTCCCACGATGGTATATCCAGAGGTGACAAACACTTTTCATCCCTCGGTCAGTGCTAGAGCAACATGTCTCCCAGATGTAAGATTGTTGGGCAGACACGAACGCTTGCTGCATCCTTGCTCGGGTTGTTGTCGTCACCTGAGAACCTGAGTAGGGTCGTAGTAAACTGCTGCCGCGTGAATTTTCTAAGCTCGGCAGCGAAGTGCTTGGAACCTATTCCTCTCACTCTGTTCGCGTAGGCAAACCTTGTCTGACAGCATGACCAACTTTCTTCTTGGAAGATAGTGAGTGGTTGATTTATCCACTTGGCCTATCGCTGGATCTTGCCCAAGGGGCTTGGGTGACTGCCGGTTCTCTACCTGGTACGCTTGATCGAGGTTGGGATGGTCTAGGTAGAGGATGTGCTGGACCCCACTGTGCTCGGGAATATGGAATTCCGGGAGGTTGAGCCCATGGCGCTGCTGTTCCGGCGGAAGCAGACGACGGCGGCGGCATTGACGTAGTAGAAGTGGGTTGGTTGGTCATGTGAACCGTGTTTTGAGGAGTCGTCGCATCGGGATCTTGCTTCCAGGAGAATAACGAGCCGAAAGGGAAATGCTGCACAACAGGAAACTTGGAAAGGACCTCGGCGTTAAACATCTTGATCATGCCCTATCATCTAATTAGCGGAAAGTGAAAACTATATCACCGAGATATCCCGTACCTTGTTGATTTTACCCCATCCGTCCTTGATGCCGGATATGTCAAATAAAATAGGGCTGTGCTCCCAGAATGGTCCTTTCTTGACATCGTTAATAAACCCAATCGCCGAGAAATACAAGTTCCTCTTCCTCTCTTGTTCGACATATTCAGCCTTTACTACTTGTGCGGGTTTGGGCGCTCGAAATAGTGATCCTTCAATCGGCATAGGTTCCGAGTCTGTGATAGCGCGACTGAGTTGCGCTGATCCATAGATGTACGGTTGAAACGAGTGATCATCTAGACCCCAGACACCATGAGACCCAGCAGGTTCCAGCGTGTATGTCAAGATCAGGCGCCTTACTACTCGAAGGTAGGGCTCGAAAACTCCAAGAACGATGCTACGCTCTATCTCACCCCCAGGCTTTCCATCCTGAAATGCGCCAAGCTTCCAGAGGCATCCAAGAAAAGCAAGAAAGCTTAACTCGTGGCCAGTTCCATAATCGAGTCTCTGGGCGCTCCCAAATCCTCCAAGTAGATACGCCGTAAGTTCGTCTACAGCTGTGGCACGGACTTTATTGCGCTCTCCTCCAAGGCCAAAGCTTAACACATTGTCAGGCACGAACTCTTTGAGAAGGTCTGCGACTCTTTCTTCTAGAAGTTGGTACCATTTCCGAAAACTGATATTCCCAAACCGTCTTGGTCCTTGGTCGGGCGGAGCCTCGTCGATATAAGACTCTATCTTAGCCAGCATATTCTGGAGCTTCCTTATAGACTCGACCGGTTGAGTCTCGTATTCCGAGCCGATTTGGAAAGTGCGAATCTTGTCTTTGCCGTCATCGCCTACGGACTTTCGCGGGCACATGGCACGGTTCAACTGCATGACAAATGTGCCGATGTCCCGGTAAGCCTTTGACTTCAGAAACTTGGGGACGTCGGGCCCATCGTTAATCTGTTTTACAGGTTTGATGAAGACGTGCTGGACTGAAGGATCCAACGTTTCTAGGACAGGGAAGCTGCCGGCGCCTGATTGAGGCGGTTGTGGAGGCGGGAGGGCCTCCATGTCATCGATTTTACTCGAATCTCGTAGCTATAGACGATAAAAAGGCCAATAAGGCGGAGAGGCGTGCAGACAAAATGAAATATAATAGAATGTCTCTTCTGTTGGTAAGGGTTCAACTAGCGCTGGTAGTTTTTAGTTACTGTAGGTATGAGGTAGCTGCGACATCTATATGCCCCGCCCCCACATCCAAGACCTTTTATCCAACTTAGAGCTTCAGCACGGACCGCATGACCTAAGTACGTACCTAACTATCCCGGGACTTGGAAGCTACAGGCCATATGGTCCACTTTTAATTAGGGCGTTAGGGGTCCCTCCTTCGCTGTTTATTGAGACTGGGATTTCTTCGCGACAGCCTCAAATTTCACAACCAACCCAATGGCTACCTTTAATTCTTCACTATGGTTTCAATTGCGGTTCCTTTCGTCTTTCAGTTTCAATCTGTCTCAAGATACCAAATCGTCAATTACGTCTCTATTCTAACTTTCATCCCATCTATTGACGAAAACGATGGTGGGGATTCGCAGTGGAGCTAGACCTAGAGCTCAACCTCACACCCAAGGCGGGGAGCTGGTTGAAGAGCATGAACTTAATCCCGAAAGTTCCGATGACGATAGCGAAGAAGAAATTCCTCATACCTCACCACCCAAATCCAAGATCAACCCAGGCATACGATCGTTAGACCACCGTCGAACTCGAAGCCAACAGCTTGACGACCAACTGCTACAGATTGGACAGTTTAAAAGACGAAGAATTGAACCTGCAACCAATCCCAGAAACGTCTCAAGCTCTGCTGTACACATAGCAAGAGCAACGACTTCTCGAAAAGAAAGTAGCAGTTCAAGCCCCGAGGATAGCTATGTGCGTACAGGGCTTGTGAATAGCCTTAATGCCGTACTGAGAAGGGAACCTAGCGGATCGCAACATGGGACGAGCCAGATAAATGGTAGGATTACCGCTCCAAACAATGGAAATGGCTATGCCAAATACACCCACGAAGATGATGGCAGACAGGAACAACAAGAACAACAACAAGAACATGTCGTTGCGGATACGTCTAGAGGTGACGAGAGCATTAGCGAGCATGAAGCGGCTTACCTACCAGCCACCGTCTTAGAGCATGATCATATCGTCCAAGATGGCCCAGTAGAGGATCAGGTTCAAACGGATATATGGGATGTACCTGTATCACCGGAAAAGTCACGAATTCTCAAGCAACCCGGTCCAGTTACTTCTTCAAGAAGATCGTCTCGACAAGGTGGGCGTGCTAAGAGGGTTGTACCGCGGCGTCGTTCTGAGCCGACGCGATCTTCTCAATCAAATGGGTCTAAGGCCGCCGAGAATCCGCGATCTTCGTCTCAAGGTGACCGCGTCCCTTCATTAGCGCCGATACAGTCAGAGGTCGAAGTTGAGCCACAGGTAGAGATAGATGAAGATGCCGAAGGTGACGAGGACTTCGGACACGTTGATAGATCCTCTCAAAGCGAAGAGAATTTGCCAGATACCGAACCACCTATCGAGGGAAGCTTTGGCCAGGACGTGGCAGATTTTGAAACCCAGTATCCTGAAGGGTTTAAAGGCGATGAAACTTACCAAGGCCCTGCTGAAGATGACGACATTGCTACGCACATTGACTCATATAGTCTCAAGTCGGCTCTTCAACTTATGCGCCATAATGCTTGGGGTGGATTAAGAACGGGATGGCATCGAAAGTCTTTTGATATTAACTCTTCAGAGACTAGATCTGTTCGATTTCTTCTTAAGTTGCTAGCAAAACTCGAGAGACTACTTATAGCAGCTCCAAAGGCACCTCAGCTCATGGAGCAAAACAAATTTCTGAACGATTATAGTGATCTCGTGGGCCACTATTTTTCAGAGATCAAATCTGCTCTTGAGTGTATTCGAGAGAAATACAAGCAAGGATCGACCAACACAAAACTACATAGCGATATCACTTCATGCGCCGTCCCTATGTTGTTCCACGTTCTAGTATCCGCGTGGGAATTAGGTGGCCATGATTGGAAGCGTACAACGTTTACGATCTCCACTATTGAGCTACTTGGGAAGACGGTTAGTTGGATCGGACTGCTGTATCGTCCGTTGCTTAGAAAGCTCACACAACAGCCACTTGATTCATCAAGAAAGGAATCAAAAACACAGCAGTTCCAAAGGGAGAAACGGGAAGAACTCGAGAAATATCGCAAGGACCTGGTTCGGATCATAGGAGATAGTATAGATGCACTCGAACGAGAAGAACGCCGACGAAAACGGGAGCATCAGATTTTACAACAGAACTTGATACGGCAGGAAGAGCTTGCAGCCCAGCGGAAGCAAGAAGAAGAAGCGCTGATGATGTCCATCAGAGAACGTCAACGGAGGTCACTAATGTCCATTCGGAGCACCCACACGCCGCTATCAGAATCGTCGAGACCGTCTTCTAGGCAAATGTCGTCGGCTTGTGAAGCACCCTCACGAGAACCGGCTCGAGTACGACCAGCTCAGGTACAACAATCTCGCCCGCATCGTAGTGGTTGGTCTCTTGAGGAGAGAACGTACCTCTTCAAGAAAATACAAGAATCATATCCTGACCTAGTAGACCTAGATGATATCCGATGGGATCTCAACAGGACCCTTGAGGAGACAGAGGTTATGGCAGAAGAGATTTTGGGGTTGATGTTGGAAGCTGTACATCCAGAACAAGCGAAGGCAGACAGAGATGCACATATCCATGAGGTTATGCAGGCTTACAGACGTACTTGGGGCCACGAGAAATGAACTACATTGCTGAATGAGACATCATGATACCCAGGTGCGATATTTACATGCTATAGCTATTCTGAGCTATTCAAATTCCATGCTTGAATTATATGATCGACTCCCGTATTTTCCGGGGTAGCTAAGCTACCACCTGCCTATCTACCTATTAGAAAGCTAGGAGGTCTTGATTTGCAGATGAGATGCCAGCACATCTCAACTATATATTACCTGCAGTGTGCATGATGCTGGGTCGCCAATTTTGTACAGCAGTTGGTCAATTCCACCCCGGTTCCGACCTTATCCCCGCGGTTTAAATGGCTCTAGACGCGCTCATGTTGGAGATATTTACGTACAGTTTCGTCATGGTAGGATCTCTCATTCGCTATTCCTGTCGACCAAAACTGCGAGATCGTGATAAGTAAACTGGTCCCTGGTCCCGGTCCTCTCTTTTCCTCTTCATTTGTCATAGAATTCCCAATCAAAGACTCGGCCGGGTTAATAAAGACCTAGAATTGACGATTGACTTTCACCAAGGTAACGGGTAGGCCCACTTAGATGAAGCGAGGATGTCAATGCCATGGATTAGAAGGTTTTGGGGACTTGTTAGGGATTGCAGCTTCTGAACTGACGTATCAACGCAAGCCGAGCCGAAACGACGTAGCAGAGCAACATTGCAATAAAAAGAAATTGATTGCGCATGTGGTCACGATCATTTCAAAATGTGGCACGATCTGCCTACATAGTACATGGTACATATGTAGAAATGTCAAGTTTGCTTTCGACTATCGAGACGGATGATTTCTTTTCGAAACTTTTCCAATCGTTACAGCTAAATTAAAGCTCTAAACCGAAACCTGAGATGATATGCTCTAGCCTTCTTTTTAGCTAGCTTTTAGCGACCTGTAAGGTGCCTGTATGTACGAACGATCTGGCTTCATTAGTGGGGAATTGGGAATTGGTGTGCGAAGCTGCAGGCCGAAAAAGCACAAGGACGGGGTGATAGCTCCAGTAAAGCTCTTGAGCTCTTATTGCTCAATGACACTGACCCGCTAGGACCCTTGTCAAACTCCTGTCCAGCCCCTGTAGAGACCCCTGTGATAGGCAATCCCCTCCAACAGTGTTTGCCTATCGGGGTTTAGCGTGGGTGCTTAGACAGCTCTGAGCCAGTAAGGAAGTCGGTCTTTTTGTGGCGGCCTTGGACGTTAAAGTAAAAAATCTCGGAGGTACATATGTACCTAAGTTAGGTTGTTCCCTTTTCAACCTTTTTTAACCCGCCCCCATTCGATATCTTTAATTCTCAACCTCCGTCAAGCTCACCACCACGAAGGATCTGGAATTACTAGATATCGTTGTTGTAAACAGGTCATACTCGTTCTTCACTTCGGCCCTTACAATTCCTCCATTTCTAGGTTCTTTCGTCAGCTGTTTGTCCGTGAACACTTGCGCCGGGTACGAACGGGCGTTACATATACCTCACTGGTTAATAATATTCTGTGGCGCTTAATTGATATCAAGGCAAGGAACTTGAAGGGTGAGAATAAAAAAAAGGAGGTTCGCAGAAGGTAGGTCAGTCAATACCCAAACCAGCCCACCAACCAACTACGCTTGAATCAAAACCCCCTCCCTTTTGTGACGTGTCGAGCATCGATACCGCGAATTATAGTTGATCGCGGTCTTAATGGATTCCTTGGTCAATGCGAATCTATGCCTTAGCATCCAAGCATCTTAGTCGTCATCTCTCCGCATCTGTAACCCTCAATTGCGTATTCGACAATCCCAAACTGTCGACCCAATCAAGCTAATAGAATTTGAATTATTAGTCTTATTTTGAGGGTTTTTCGATTTAGGACCACTTGACGAACGACCGATACCACTTTTTCTTTTTTCGATAGACGTAGCTTTTCACCTTGTAAATACCGAAACCATGTCTGACGGCGAAGGATTTGTGGAGGTCGCGCACGAAGACTCTCTTCTTTCAGGCGAAGACACCGCCGGCACTGCCGCGACCGAATCTTCACCCAAGTCCTCAGCCAAATCTAGCAATGGATCTAAAGCTGAGAGTGCCGCACCGGCAAAGCGCCCGGTTGGCACTACCGCTACCACTCGTCGTCCGGGAACGACTCCCACGGTCGCCTCTAAGACGACTGCGACCTCGGCAGCTCGTGCCGCTACTGGCGGTTTGACCAAGCCTCCCGCGCGCCCTCCTTCTGGTGCCACTGTCAAGAAGCCCGCTGGCACGACTACGACCCATAGGCCCCAGCCATCCATCTCGGAAGACGAGAAGAAGAAGCCCAGTATGACTTCTGCGGCGCGTCGAACTTCGACGGTACCTAGTAGCCTAACGTCGTCTCCGGGCAAGTCTGCCACAAGACCGACCGTTTCCAGCGCTGCTACCGCAAGGAAACCCTCGCCGGCAACTAGCACTCTAGCCGCAAGATCTGGTTCGCTCACCAAACCATCGACTGGTACCTCGGCGTCGGCACGGACCTCGACGGTTTCTCGACCCGGAGCTTCCAGTTCGACGATGGAGCCGAAGAAGCGAATCTCTAATGTCACTGGCTCGCCATCGGGCCCGACGAGGCATATGGCGCGCCCATCTACCTCGTCCGTAATGTCTTCCGCAGCGGCAAAGGATGTTGAAGACTTGAAGGCGAAACTTGCCGAGAAAGAGGCAGAAGTCGAGTTACTGAAAGGACAAGTTGCTTCCTCTCAAGCCAAGGTTGCAGAGTTCGAGGAAAAGATTAAGTCCGAGACAAATGGTGTCCAGGGTGCCGAAGATGCTCTGCGACAAGGACACGAAGAGCTCTTGGAGACTTTGAAGTCTACCCATGCTTCCGAAAAAGAGGCTCTGGGCACGAAGATCTCCGAGGCCCTTGAAAAACTTAAGATTGCCGAGGAGCAGCTTGAGGCTCATAAGAAGCAACTTACTGACCTGACTAACTCGCAAGAAACCAAAGAGACCGAAATCAGTGACCTCCAGAGTAAGATAGAGTCTCTCCAGCTTGACGCAAAGGACAGTGAAGGTGCTCTGGCTAAAGCGTCCGAGGAGCATGCTGCAGCATTAGAGGAACTTCGGAAGTCATTAGACGAACAGCACCAAGCCGCTGTTGAGGCCCTGAAGACTTCGCACGCGACTGAACTTGATCAGAGCAAAGCAGCTTCGAACGAGCACGATAAGGCCCTCGAAGAACTCAAGGCTGCTAATGAGTCATTGCAAAGCAAAGTTAATGAGTTGACCTTGGCGACGGAGAATGAAGACACCGCAAGCGCTTCCAAGCTCGCCGCGCTAGAGGCTGAACTTGCTGAGTTGAAGGCTGCTGCTGAGCAAGATAAAGCAGCGTTAGCGGCTTCCCAAGCTGAATTAGACGAAGTGAAGACGAAGCTGGCCGAGTCTCTCGCCGCCGCCGATGCTACAAATGAAGAATTAGCTAAGGTCAAGTCTGACTTCGCTAGCCTACAGGAGGAACTTGGGCAAGCCAAAGCAGATATGTCGTCTAGCGCGGATCTCGCCACCCAAATCAAGGAGTGGGAAGACAAGTACGAGAAGTTAAAGCAGGAACACAAGGTCTCAGAGGAGACGCATGAAAACCAACTAAAGCAAGTGTCCCAAGATTACGAGACCGAGATTGAGAGCCTGAAGGGCGACGCTTTCTTCAAACGCAAGTTTCATGTCCTGGAAGAAGAGCATAACGACCTGAAGACCAAGTACGACGAGTTAACTGGAACACATTCGACAGCTGTTGAGACCCATGCGACGAAACTGGAGGCTGCGATGGCCGAACATGCTGCTGCAGTTGCTGCCCTTTCTGCGAAGGAAGAGGAACACCAAAAGGCACTTGATGCATTACAGGCTAGTCATGCAATGGATCTAGAAAGCGCTAAAAGCGGCGCCTCTGCCGACAAGGAAGCACACCTGGCCGAGCTCGAAGCCCTGAAGACTAGCCACGCTGAACAGATCGAGATCTCCAAGGCTGAGAGTGCGGCTGCCCTTGCGAAGGAGTTAGAAGCTCTAAAGGCGGCTCATGCCGAGGCCCTTGATACTCATAAGCAAGAGTCGGATACTCTGGTCGCTGAGTTGAAGTCTAAGTATGCGCAGGAGCTTTCTGAGAAGGATGCAGATGGTAGCGCTCACGCTGCTCAGCTAGAGGTTCTTAAAGCTGCGGTTGAGGAAGCGCATGCCGAATTAGAGAAAACCAAGTCCAGCCATGCTGAAGAGCTTGCTGCGAAGGACGCTGACAGCAGTGCCTACGCTACTCAGTTAGAAGCGCTGAAAGTGTCTCTCGAGGAAACACGCGCGGAATTGGAGAAGGTCAAAGCTACTCATGCTGAGGAGCTTGCTGCTAAAGAGGCTGATGGAAGTGCCTATGTCACTCAATTAGAAACCTTGAAGACGGCAGTCGAGGAAGCACAGGCAGAATTAGAGAAAGCTAATGCGAGCCACAGCGCTGCCCTCGAAGCTTTTAAGAAGGACTACGACGATGCGCACTCTGCCGAGATCGAGAAATTGATTACGATGCAGTCCGAAGCGGTGGAAGCTGCGAAGAATGACGCATCAGGCGCTCACAAGGAGGCTATTGAAGCTCTTGGAGCGAAACACGCCCAAGCCATCGAGGAGTTGACAAAGGAACACGAGGAAAAACTCTCCGCGGCAACAGCCGAAGCATCTAAGCATCTAGCTGCTGTGACAGAAAACGAGACAGCATTGGTGGCCGTAAAGGAGGCTTTGGCTAAGGCCGAGGAACAAGCCGCGGCTCTTGAAGCTGAATTAGCTGATGCCAAGGCGAAGACCGCTGAGCTTGCTAAAGCTCATGCGGAGTCTGAAGAGTTGCACCAAAAGCTTGCAGAGGCGAAGATGAACAACGTGGAGCTCATGGCCGAGCTTGACGCCGTGAAGAGTCAAAGGGCAGATACTTCTGCTGTAGACGCATTGAAGGCTGAACTCGAGGAGCTTAAGAAATCTCATGCCGAGGAAATAGCAGCTGCTAAGGAGACGTCTGCGAAGTCTGCAGGTGACTTCGAGCTGCTCCAAAAGAACCACGATGCCGTGAAGGCAGACTTTGAATCCTTGAAAGAGCAACTAGAGGCAGCCAAGCAAGATGCTCTCATCGCGCAGAAAGACCTCGAAGCGCATAAGAACGACGTGGAAGCTAAACTGAAGAATCAGGAGGCCGACTACAAGGATATGTACGACAATTTGTCGACCATAGCCGAGGAAGAGCAGAAGAAGAGGGCAGCAGCTGAGAAGGAAGCATCTGACATCAAGTCAAGATTTGCGGAGATGGAGGCCCAATTGAAGGTCAAAGATGCAGAAATCGCCGAGGCACTGGTACGTTCGCCATTCTAAAGATTTACCATATGCGTTTATGGGATGATATGCTAACTAAATAGTAGGCCAAGGCGGCTCTGTCGCCAACAAAGAAAGGTCTGTCAGCAAGCAGATTCGCCGACGGCGAGAACGGAGCGAACGAGAAGGATACCGACTCAGAGGCTACCGCAGCTGCAGGTGAGGAGCAGGAGCCTGACCATTCATCGGCTGCGATAAGCGCGGTGCGCAGAACCCTATAAACTGTTCTTGCTTGCTTGCTTGCTAGTCGCAGCACGTCCCCTTTACTCCTACACTTCCCTATGTATTTTTATATCAGTCATTTACAGAACGATAGCTAATGGGACTTTAACAACAGCTGGCACAAGTTAATTTATCTCTCAAGGGCTTAAGGGCCATCGATGACGAAATGAAAGACCAGAACTTGCGGTATGTATATCCTCCGTCTCACACATGATGAAGAGGCTTTCAATGCGTTGAATGAACGAAGAGACTAAACTTAAGTACAGCATGCTCAAGTCAATGACAGAGGCCCACGGGGTACCTCAGAACTCGGGTTAAAATCACGTCGATTATTCATAACGACTATTTCCTCCTCAGTCTTTTATACTACTCAGTACGACCGACTACGAACTTCACCCTGTTTTTACGAGAAGTGAAATACGTCGACCTAATTCGACATATCCGAGGTCACGGCTTACGCTACGGACGTCAGACGGTTATTCTCTCTTACGGGCAGCAACGCGCAATGCGGACACGCCACCTTCTTTCGCCCCCTCATCTGCGCTCTCGTCTGTTCGCTGCAGGCAGAGTCAGGTTTACGCTGTTGTTGGGAATTTGTTCTATAATTCGGAAAACCAGACACGCTTTGTAATGAATATATTTTTCAAGGGGTTTCGGTCTCAGATACCTATGCTTAGGTAACCTGGTAGGCGGCGCGACATTCTTTTTTCCCCGTCCGCCGTCTCACGGACCGCGAAATGGGATGAGAAGAAAGGGGAAAGTTGTATGTATCAGAGCTGCGGCAACGTAATGTTGGAGGAAGATTTAGTTGCTTTCATCTCTTTTTTTTTTCTCTCTCTTTACCGAGGACTACGTGGATAATTGTAGTAGTTCCTCGTTTAGTCGAAGTTTGAAATGGACGATACCCCTTTTTTCTCCTGCATAAAACCAGCCTTTTTTCAGGGGGCAATTCGCAGTCACAGTTCGCAATTTTAAGTGCCATGAGATTTGTCTTTGTGACGCCACATCTAAATCAATTCTATACCTAGTACGTTTATTTGCAAAAAGTGAGTCTAAAGTTTTGAACATTATATCCATACCTATCGACGTGTTCGATCAGAAAACATTCTAAAAATTTGATAAAACCCATTACGCACTTCCGGACCTAAACACACGACGCACTTGGTATGTATGTATGTACGGAGCATACATTTTACCTAGGTAATTATTTAGACCATTCGCTCACTCCCTTTTCCAACACCACCGGCTACGCCGCGGCCAATTTCTCGTTATCTGCGGGCTTCACCAAGTCCCGCAGCTCGAACATGGTCTGGAAGTTCGATTGCTTGACGAACCACGCGTTTGTGAGCTTCCACTCTTGATTCGGGTCTTTGAATTGGATCTGCGCGCCACGGTAAGCATTGGCCATATCTCATGATATCAACTCAAGGAACAAGGGGGGGGGAAAGGTAGGTTGGGTTACTTACGTCGAACCGCCGAAGCAGACTAGGCACGACCTTGTATATTTCCAAGAGACTGATGTTCTTGCCAATACATGTGCGAGATCCCATACCGAATTGGAACATCATGCCGTTCATCTCGCGAATGCGTCGTTCCTGCTCGGCCTTTTCTTCCCCCTTTAATTTCTCGTCGACGAGCCACCTCTCTGGTCGGAAGTCGTCCACGTCCTCCCCCCAAATTTCGGGGCGGCGATGAATGATCCACGCAGAGCAGCCGACGATAGTCCCGCCTTTGACATATTGACCCGCAATTTCGGCACCAGGCTCGGGCACGATACGCTCGAGAGGCAGGCCTGCGGCTGGGTGTAGCCGGAAGGCCTCTTTAATACAAGCGTCAAGGTACGGTAACTTCTGACTCTCAGTCCACGTTACGAGGCCCGTTTCGTAGTCGCTGAATACACCGGATAGAGAAGCATCATCTAACTCCTTTCTCAATTTGGCAAACGTAGACGGGTTGCGTAGTAGATAGTAGAAGACACTTGCTAATGAGATGGCTGTGGTTTCAGACCCAGCAAATGCCATAGATACAGCCATTGTCTGGACTAGAGTGTCATTCATAAACTCGGGCCGAGCCTCACGCGCAGCGAGAAATTTAGACAGCAAATCGGGCGATTTGGCCTCGGCTTTACCCTCCGTGGAGACTGGAAGAAGAGGCTTAGAGGGGTCACCTGAGAGATTAGGGCCCAAACGCTCAGCCATGCGAGCTCGTGCGAAACGCGCTACAGGAAAAGTAGCATCGATGAAACCCCATTGAGAGAGTTTAAGGTAAATGGGGTTCTTGAGGAAAACGCGGTCGAGCCACGGTATTTGGCCAATCTTATCAGACGTGTTAGCTTCCTTTCATATTTCAAGTATCCGAATCTCCAACATACTGGCGCGACATAGAGAAACAGATTTCCCAAGTATCCTACTATGCCGTCAATATCTTCGTTCTTCTCGACAAATCCGTGGCGTTTGCTATAAGTAATCTCCCCAATTACGTCGAAGGCGTAGAATTGTAGCCATTGAGTGAAATTACATCCTTCTGGGTTACCAGCAAAGAGTTTCTCCGTCTGTTTGAGGAATAGTTTTGTCGTATTATCAACAAACGGCTCATATTGGACGAGAGCTGACATCGCAAAAGCTGAGTTGACACATCGTCTGAATTGTGCGTGAAAATTATTGTCCGTCGTGCTAAAAAGCGACGCGAGCGAATCTCCCTTGACTACCGACTGCTGAACAACATAGAAATCGGACTAAAAAGTCGGCGTTAGTAGTTCTCATCAGGAAGCCATATTTAGGACTCCTACCTTTACGAATCCCTTATTAAGACCGTATATGGATTTGAGGGCCTTCGGGTTTGCAAAGGACAAAGTATTAGGGCCTAAGCGCACGATGTCACCATACTTCGCATGCAACTTCCGGTGCGTTATGTCAGGCCGCTGGCCGTAGACATCATATAATCGCCACCAGTCCGTCAACGAAGCCAGGAAAGGGCCCGGGTATTTGTTCAGCCCATTATGATATCGATTCCTAACTAGCCACGCAACAATAATTGATACTGTTATTGGCAGCCAGTAGTGAGCTACGAAGCTCCCAAACACGGAGTTCTCAAGACTCAGCATTGCCTCGAGCTATCATTTGCTCTTATACAATGAGTTGAAGCTTGAAAAAGATTTGTAATGGAAAGTTCCTTGATTTCCTAACGGTAGGAAATATGTAAGCAAAACGTTACAAGGTTATTGAAACCCCTGGGCTCTCTGGGCTGTCGAGATCGAGGACCGCCGACTTCAGAAATACAGCTAGCGGAAGTAACCCGGTTATCCTTACAATCTTTAGAGGAGGTTAGAGGTAGAAGCGCCGCAAGCCGAGTATTAGAAACTGCTGACAATGAGTGCCAGGGTGGGTATATATGTGAACCTATTTGTCGGTTATCCCGTAGGCAACTCGGCGTTGTCTTATAATCTTCTGCGAGAGGTAGATTCCCGGTACCCACGGCTAGCCTATTCGACTAGCATGGCGATAGGCGAGCGATGGTTTTAAGGTACACTTGTACTTAATATGAAATACAAAAGGACCGTTATGCTTGTAACGGCAATTCAGAGCGCCGGATCAGCTCTTCAAAACTCGTAGCCCTTACAACATTTGTCCCATACGCGCTCAGAGATCCCGCTCGTAGCCAGCTAGGCTATCAGGGATCCTAAGCCTCTGGGGTCCCCGCCGACCCACCGATGAGGAAAAGGGGGGGCCGTTAGCTCCGCCAACAGACGAAGTGCCTGGTTTTAGTGCTGAAATAAAGAGGAAACCCATGACTGCCAAGTTGGTAGACATGTGTATAGCTCGAGTTTAGACTTCGGGCAGTTTTAGATGTGATTTCGGCAGATGAACAGCCCAATGATTTCGCAGGTATAGTCAAACACGAGCTCAATGCCACGACTCGGGGAATATAACATGTTTCGGGTCACAGTCGTAGTGATCAACCGGTATAGTTGGGTTTACAGGACGTTGCTAGTGACACGGTAGCCCTTCGCGGGAGCGTGCTTCCCGCACAAGCACCAATATGTATAAATTATTAGGAAAACTTTATCCCGTAACCTTGAAAGGTGACTTGTTGATGATAGGTACGACATCCGCTTAGAGGAGTAGAGTAGCCTCGTCCAATGTGGCGGCAAAGTACCTAAGCAACCTTGGGACGGGGGTCAATGCGGCTCTCACCCGTGACGAACTAGAGATGGTGATTAACGTCGGATCTCGACACAAAGTTTCGGCATATGGCATATGGGCCAGTTGAGGATGACCTATTGAAGAACAGCACGGCGGATAACTGACGTACCAGCGACGGCGATATCGTTATTCTTGGACCAGTTGAAGTTTGAATTTCCAAATTCATCCTAGATGTTCTTCCAGGTGCGGTGCTGCACGGGTGTAGTATATGCCACCCATATGTCACCCATGGCTGCAAGCCGAAGCGGATCTAGACCACCACCAGAGAAGATCTGGCAGAGGAGACCAGGCGTTTGGAATTTGGCATTGGTGACGATAGTATGGCACAATGGGGCGTTCAAACTGCCGAATTCTTATGACGAAAGGCGTGGAAAAGTGGCTCTTGAACGTTAACCTAATCGAGCTATCGACAGGTTTTGCGAAGTGGGGACGATACAAAGAAGGGAATTGGCACTCGGCAGATGTTGAAATTGCTTGCTTCCCACTTTGAATGCGATTTTGCCGCGCAAAAAGTAAAGGCTGACCACGTGCGAATTGCGATTTGCGCGTTTCAATCGGTGTCGCGGGATTAATAAAGTCCCCTTACGTAAGGACATCGGACAGATCGGATAAGGGCTTGGGCAATTGAATACCTATCTAGATACATAAGTAAATCCGGCTCCGTATCACAAAGTTAAGGGTCAACTTAAGGGTCCACGACAGGCGCCTCGAGTGCTTCTATTGGAAGGTGCGTCTAATGTAGTAGGTATCATGCCATGTATATGTACAACCACATGTACCAAGGTAGCATCGATTTGGCCGTTCCACCACCTTGGGAATCTTCTCGTCCGGAATCTCTTTTTCTTCCTCATAGCCTGATTTCAACCTATGCCGCTGCCCGGTCCTTTTGCTTCACCACCTACTACATAACATCTATTCCAAGATCTCCTATATTCAGGTTAGTTGTCCACGCTGTGCCGCCCTACTTCCCTTGACGCGCTTCATGTCGTGGAACCCACCGGATGCAGCTCCATTTCTCCCGTATTTTCCCAGACTGCGAATGAGGCGAGCTAACGGACCGGATACACGCCCGCTTGGGTATCCTTACGTGATAAACGGCTCACCGATCGCATTCCAGAGCTGTCGGTAGTCTACGAAGTACATTTCCGATATTGATAATAGGTGCCTCCGCATTTCGCGATGTGTAAGCTATGTAGTTTTGCTCCAATATTAAACGCCGACTACTCTATTCTATCGTCACTCTCGCGCCTTCGCGTCTATCAGGTAGACGGGACTTCGAACATTGTATCTCTCGCCAATTGCCGCCATTTCTAAGGAAGAACATTGCGCGGAGTTGTGCGCTTATTTCAGACCTGCCGCGTGTACTCAACCTGGACAACTTCAAGCAATTCTGGAGTTACGGCAAATAAATTTAGCACAAAACACTTAAGGCACATTCTCTCACGAATCGCTATATGATATAGGAACTTCTTCGGCGAGTTAAGATGTAGCTAATATATTGAATAGGACCTAAAAGGAACTCTGGTGCATATGAGACGTATGAAATGACCTCGTTCTAGGTTGTTAGCAAAAGGGGCTGATGTCTCATACAATAGTAAGATACAAGATGTTCTCTTCTCAAAGAAACCCTTTTTATGTAATCCGTGGTTTCATTTATGCCTCTCAGAATATACCAATTGGCATATTTTCCAATTTTATGTATTAGTCTTGAATTATCCTTTGAAGGCACCTGGGATGTGATTAGAATAGCTCGTTGGAACCGCATAATATCTTTCCCACCTACCTCATAAACAACATACTCGTTCAATAGCTTTCATTGCAGGGCATTCGGCATACCTTTTATAAACACTTATACCATTTCACTTCGTACGAGTCCCTTAATTTAAAGTCTCATCTTGCAAAACTGTACCGAGTCATGTAATCTCATTGCCCCTATTCGTCAACACCATGACCTCGTTCTATAGTGAGATAATCTAACTAATATGTACGTATCCCGAATTGAAAGATTCAAGAACCTTCGTCTTTTTCATCTTTGCATGAGTTGGTAGAGAGAATGACTGTGCAAAGAATGCCCTCGAAAAATCTACCTCAGTAAGGAAAATGCCCCCTACCCCTTTCCACAGAACCCCTGGCCCCACTCCATAAACCAAACACATCGCTCTTTACCCCTTACCATCATCAAAGTACCCAAGCGCACCCCGACCCTTCAAACCGAGAAACCCCCAGAAAACCTAAGGATCGTTCGAGCAAGTCCCCGCGCAATCCGTCATCGTAGGCGTAACCAGCAGCGGCGCCTTGTTAGGATCAAGCTCGTACGAGCAGAACTTATTATGATCCGCGCACTGGCCCAGCACCAAATTATCATTCAGCGCGAAGCGCGCAGTACCATCGTACGTCTTATACCAGTGCGCGTTCCACTGCGTAACGTTATACGTCAGCCCGAACTGCAGCTGCAGGTTATTCGGGTCGAGGACGCCGGCGCCGTTGTCGTTGTCCCCGTTATCCACGACCTGGACCTCGAACTGGCCGTACGTGTCCTGCGTCGTCTCGGTGCAGCGCGCGCCCGAAGTCACGGCGTCCGCCGTGTCGTGGCCCGTCATCGTGCAGTTCGCCGCGCTGGGCGGGAACGGGAAGTACCCGCCGCCGTCGGCGAACGGGGCCGGCCCCGCGGACACCTGGTTCGGGTTCTCGATCGCGAGCTTGATCGTCGCGTACCCGTTCGTGCCCGCCGATGACGGCGGCAAGGCGATCGTGAACCGTGTTATCTTCCACGGCTGCAGCGGTTCGACGAACGGGTTGGGGTCGTACGCGGCTGCGAGGCCGGTCATGAGGGCGAGGGTTGTTGTTGCCGTAAACTGCATGATGATGTTCTTCCCTGTTTTCTTTGGGGGGTCTGACAGGTAAAGTGTTTCAGGAACCGGAATATTAAAAACCGGTGAAGGAATTATCGTGTTCAGGTGAAAGAAGCTGTTTTGGTGCGATGTGATGGTTGTGTTCTGGTAGTATCGAGAAAATGCAGGCTTCCGTCCCCGGGTCTTTAAGTACGACTTCAGACGGTTCCGAAGCTGAGCTTTCAAAGGCCGTATACGCACGAGAAAAGCGCCATCGTGCCACTACCGTAACGTTGGGCGACAGAGTAACACCGGACGATAAAAATAGAGTTATTTTTGACCTCTGTCCATCCCGACTTCCTGGATTGAAGAATACGAAGCTTTTCAGCTAACGCAAGGGACCGGAAGGTGCCTGTCGTGCTTTGATAGGCACAAAGTTTTGGAAGAGGGTCCCGGCTAAATGCAATCAACTCTCGAATAAGTATTCGTTGGTTGGGTTTATTCGTCTCATTATTCCTATCACTATACGAGTCTCACATTGCCCTGCATCAACGTGGCTGTCATGTCTGTGTTAGCTGTATATCGATGGCACGTTGCAGTTGTCTGCCCTCCCCAGAGTTCTAGCTTTACGTACGAACAGACATTGAAATCACTTAACCTGAAGCTGAGGTACGTAAGACTCGTGATTGGATGAAAATAGGGCGCCATTCTCGGGACTAAAAAGAAGCTTAAACCCTAGCCTAGTATCACAGCATCAACTCAGCTATGCACAACCTGAACACGAACTAAAAAGGGATAATGAAATTCAGAAAAAAAAATTTCCCTCGGACCGGAATCGAACCGGTGACTTTTCGATAAACAATCGTGAGACCATGAGATCAAATAACAATTACAGTCGAACGCCATAACCAACTAGACTACCAAGGGCTTCCATAACTGGGGAAGACCCCTTCGATAAGATACTGTCTTTTTGATGGGTATTGTTAAATACTAGGTAGGTACCTAGGTAAACGACTAGACAAACGCTAAATAATACCGTTCAAAACACCGTCGAGCATTTCAACATCTTTGAGTAGCTGCTTATCCCCCAGCCTTGGACCAACTATCTGCAACGCCACCGGCGCTCCCTTAAAAAGCTCTGGATCATCTATGGTATCAAATGTTAGCTGCTAAATCTCAAAATCGTACGTTGTGACTTTACATACACATATCTTGATTCTTTTGATCCGCTGTGTGTTTGGGCTTGAATTCGGTATCTTTTGGGTCAAGAGCCGGGTCAGCGTGAGTAAAAGGCACTATGATGGCAGGGTACTAAAGAGATACGACGTCAGATCTTCGCTAAAGCAAGCCACTGGTTCAGGAAGTCCTTACATCGCACACGTTCCAAGCCACCGTGTAGATGTCACTAGTCCAATCTCCAGGCAGTACGGCCGTGTGGGGACCAGCGGGCGCCAGGACGACATCACAGCCTACTCGCTGCCATTCGTCCAACATCTCCTTCTGGATCTGCCCTTTCTTCGTATTCCACATCCACGCCTCCTCTTGAGTTTTCGGAGGTATGTCCCAGAACCCGATCTTCATGACGCTTGGGACCACGGGCTCGCCCGACTTGGCGAACTCTTGTTTCGGGTACGAGAGCCCATCGAGGGTGAACAGCTGCTCTGAGACGTCGCGGATGCCGATGAAATCCGGCGGGTTGAAATCTCTTATCTCGAACCCGGCAGCTGCTAGTTTGGAAACAGCTTCTCGCATGGCCCGGCGCACTGGCGGGTGGGGTGTCAGACCAGATTCGTAGATAACGCCAATGACAGGCTTTCGCGGAGCGACGTCAAACTCCATGATATTCGGTATCACCGCAGGATCAAAGGACCAGGGCTTTGCGGCTCTGACTACGCTAGTGAAAAGATCAAGGTCGCGCACCGAATGTCCTAGAGGACCCGTGACAGCCGGGATTCCCGTGTTGGATCCTGACCAGCCAGAATAGGAGTAACCGATCATAGGAATGACCCCGAAGCTAGGCTTATAACCATAGACTCCATTACAAGCCGCAGGTATCCGCACCGATCCACCAACATCGGTGCCGACACCGAGAGCACTGCACCTGAAGGCTTGACTTGAGCCCTCTCCTCCACTACTTCCGCCGCTAGTCAGACGAGAATTCACGGGGTTTTTGGAGCGTCCAAACACATTATTGTCGTTCTCTGCGACTAGCATAGTCTGAGGCACGTTTGTCTTTGAAATGACTATTGCTCCTGCGGCTTGTAGGAGTTCCGGCAGCGGCGACGTACGGTTAGCTGGTTGGAAGACTCGAGACATGTATCCGTTGGTCGAATCGTACCCCTTAAAGTGAAAGCACTCTTTGAAAGTCATCGGAACTCCATGTAGCGGTCCGACAACCTTCCCTGTGCTCTTGAAAATGTCGTCCAGTTCCTTAGCCCTCTCCAGTGCATCAACGAACATGATCTCTGTAAGCATGTTACATAGCTGTTGTCCTACTGCAGCACGCTTGCAAAATGCTGTGGTAACCTCCAAGGCCGTGAATTTGCCCTCGGCAATGGCAGCGGCCAGCGAAGTTGCATCATACTCCTCGCTGGTAATCGCTAGCTCGGTTGGAGACAAGATGCCGCATGAATTGACAAAGGGGCGAAGGTCAATTGTGTCCTCCGGCGGAAAGTCCTCTTTCTTCAATTTCCATTCTGCTGGGATCCTTGAGTCTCGCTCTGCATATTTGGCTGCTTGAAGTTCTCGCCAGGACTTCCTGGCTGCTGGAGTGCTGTTGTCACCCATATTCAAGCACTAGTGTATCTGATATGTGCAAGACAGACATCTTGTAGGAAACATGAAGTAAATGTATGTTAAAATAGGCATGGCCCCTCACAGAGACCTACGGCGTTACCTTGAGAAATGAGACCTCCTTTTCAGAAGTGTGGGGTATACACCGGCGTCGATGTCCGAAGGATTGAAGATGAGAGGGGGCTTAGCAACGGATATAACGAACCTATTATCAGCTTTATAGCTGAGCCCTGCTCTTACTGGGGTCCACTATATGCTAGATTATCAGATAATCTATACCAAGCAGTCCCAGGAAACCCTCCACTACCTTGTCATGCCTCTTATCATCGTTACCTATTGGGATCGGATACTGCCTATCTGACGAACTTCCTCTTCACCAATTTCCTTCGTCCAAAGCCTCAAATTTGAACAACTATTTAGATAGCATTCAATTCTATAAGGTTGTACAATTTTAGCCGATTACATAGACCTCAGGTTTATTCGGTGAGTACCTAGCTAGGTAGGCAATATGATGCTTCTTCATGCGGAGTTAACAGGTTAAATAAAGTAGCAACGTGACGCCCACGTCTTAACCAATAGATATAGCAAGGATCTTATCATGCATATATGTACCTAATAGTTATCAGGATCCCCAGTAGAAAGGTCAACATGGTCTCACCTACATTGGACTAGGATAGTGAGGAGTAGCATTTAACATCCTCCTCATCGTTCGCAAGCTTGTGAAGTTATTTTTTCCCCTTTGAGATTTACTCTCAAAATGGATGCGAAAATGTCTGAGAAGAACGAGGCCTCGATCCCTAAGAGCCTAGTCGACATCGAGCCTGGAGTTGGCCTCGACTTACCAAAACAGAACGCATTACAGCGTCTGATTCACCGGCGAAATGATCTCAATCAGTTAGGTAAAGATATGCTACAGAAGTCGCTTCAATATGACAGGGCCCAGCTTGAAGCAGACGCCGTTAAGGTTCGATGGAAGCTGGATCTCCTCGTGCTTCCGATGGTACGTTGACTCAAGTCCACGCCTCTGTCTGGCAATGTTTGTTCCTAATAGAAGGTGTTTCGCGAAGATGATGACTACATATATGTTGTCGTTCCTTGATAAACAAACGTATGGTTCGATCTATACTTCGCTTATGATGAACTCCGATAATGATTGTTCTTAGTCTAAACTACTCCAACGCGTACGGCTTGCAGAGCGATACAAACATGACGGGCAATGATTACACATGGGTTGCTTCCGCGTTGTACTTTGGTTGGCTCTGCGGAGCTTGGCCGTGGAATATGTTGCTACAGCGCGTTGCCATTGGGAAATTGGTGGGCGGGATGTTATTCGTCTGGGGAATTGTATGCATGCTGCAAGCTACGGTGTTCAATTTCAGTGGCTTTTTTGCCGTTCGCTTCTTTTTGGGCATGCTCGAGGGCTGCGTCTCACCAGCGTGGGTTCTCCTAACTTCGATGCTTTGGACGAGAAAGGAGCAAACGATGCGCAGCTCCATTTGGCTGTGCACGAACGGTGTCTCGAATATCTTAGGGTCACTTCTGGCCTATGGCTCGGGCTCAGCTGAAGGATTATCCATAGCTCAATGGAAGTTGATCTTCCTGGTAGACCTCCCCTTCCGGGTTTTATATTTTAGAGGCTGATCGAAGATATGTGTAGATCGTCGGTGCCCTTACCTTCGTATGGGGGTTCGTTATCTTACTTTTCCTTCCCGACGGGCCGCATAATGCAAAGATGCTAACGGAATACGAACGTGTGGTTGCCGTCTGGCGAGTCTCCGAAAATCAGATAGGCCTAAAGGATTCGACGATCAGGCCTTACCAGATTAAGGAAGCCTTGCTAGATGGGAAGTGCTACTTATTATGGATGGTATCGATGGCATTGGGGCTCCTCAACGGCGCTGTGACCAACTTCATGTCGGCTATCATCAAGGGCTTCAATTTCGACGCACTCAGGGCATCTCTGCTGCAAGCTCCTGGGGGAGCATTTGAAATCGTCTTCTGTCTTTTGATAGGACGGTTCTCGCAGCTTCCTAACATGGTCGGTATTTCTATCATGCTTGGCTGTCTGCCCGGTATGGCTGGACTCATCGGTATTCTCACTATTAACATCGAGCACCGATATGCGCTTGTTGCCATGTGTTGGTTGCAGAATGTAGTTGGGTCTCCTATTGTCCTAAGTTGGACAGTCCCTGGTCTCAACATCGCTGGACATACTAAGAGAAGTGCCGTCATGGGCATATTTTTTGTCTGTTATGTTGTTGGGAAGTAAGTTTAACCACAGAGGCAGAGATAACATGTTGACATGCACTAACAATAACACACTCAGCATCATTGGTCCACACCTCTTTCTATCTACCGAGGCACCAAGATATCCAACGGCGATTAAGGGTCTGCTGGGCACTTATTGCGCTACAATCGTACTCCAAGGACTGTATGTTCTCTGGTGTTGGTTTGATAACCGACGGCGCGATAGGTTAGGCCAGCATGCCGAGGTAGAGGAAGAGCTGTTGGAAGGGTTTGAGGATCTAACAGACAAACAGAACAAGCATTTCAGATACAGGCTCTAGGCGGGCCGTACTTAGGTGCGAAAAGATACCAGAGAGCTGGGTATAGATTAGTAATATAGACCTTTAAAGAAAATATTCTATGCAGGTAAACCTGCTGCGTGCAACAATCGTCACTTCCTCACGATGGATCGTTAAACAATCGCAACTGCCCTCAGCAACCCACCTTACTGAAGTAATCACGGATACCCCCACTTCGCCCGAGAGCCCCACACCCCAAGCTACAAAACCCCAGCTCCCAATTCCAACAATCGTTTCTTCCTTTCTATTTTGTCAAACTTACCTTGAGAAATCAACGCGAGCTCAAGAATTCGCGTTGGTAGGACTGGGCGGCCTGCATTGCACACCCGCGGAGCTGCCTGTCCTTCGGCGATTCCTCTGGCGTTTCGATTCTTGTAATTTTTGCTGTTCTTTTGCCTCCTGATTAGGTACATTGCGCATTTTCGTTACGCTCATCGCTGCTTGTGGTGATGTGAGGAAGATGTACTGACTTCGACTCCACGACGATTCTCAGTCGAGTCTATTAACGCGCTATTGCTCCCCTGCTCAAATTCCCCCTAATATATCCTGCTCATTCACGTCCTCCGTTGCACTCGATATTGATATATTGGTGCTGAGTCGTCCCACGATAGCTTCATGAACCCCACCAACCCACGGTGGGTAAGGTGGGGTAGCTCATTGAAGGCCGTTCGTTGGTCAATTGGGAGGTCAACTTAACTCCGAGCTCAAGGTCACCACCAACCTTTCGGCGCCAGAATCCTATCAGAAGCAACCACATCGTATGACTAAGGCGTCACATCCTGTGCGGTTGCGGTTGCGGTCTAGGTCTTCTCATGCTATGGATAATAATGAAATAATTGAAAATGCTTACTAGATTTTGGAAGATTTCCTAGTAACGGTACCTTGAGTTATAGCTTTGCCCTGTGGAGTTATATATCCGACGAGCTCGGTTTTATACTCCACAAGCTATGAATAGCTTGATCCAGTCCATCAAATAGCTTCCAACAAAATTTCCTTCCTTTCTCTACCATCCAGGCATCATATTCCACTCATCAGCATTGAGTAATCAGCCGAAACCATGGAATCCTCCTCGCCGAACCCTCCCGGCGTATCTCCAGAGAAAGGCAACCTTCTCAAACGGATTCTAGAAGAGCTCGGCCTCGTCTCTATGTACACCTCCTCGCGAGACGTTAAGCTGCTATGTCTCCAACGCTTCGTCCGTATGTTCGCGTACGGCATATCGACGCTCATCCTGGTCGCATACCTGGACGCGCTCGCCATCCCCAAGACGGAGATCGGCCTCTTCATGACTCTGACACTGGTCGGAGATACCTGTCTCAGCTTCTTCCTCACGCTGTTCGCCGACGGGTTGGGACGGAGGGCCACTCTCGCTCTCGGCGCCATCTTGATGGCCGCTAGCGGTGTCGTATTCGCATTATTTGGGACATATTGGATACTTCTTGTTGCTGCCGTCGTTGGGGTTATAAGCCCGAGGTATGAAAGTGATTTTTACTTCAATATGGTAGGAAGATACTGACATAAACTAATACAAAGTGGAAATGAGATTGGGCCCTTTCGGGCTATCGAAGAGAGCATTGTAGCTCAGCTAACTGATCCGAAGAAGCGGAGCGACGTCTATGCCTGGTATAGTCTATTGGGACTTGTAGGCACGGCATGCGGCTGCATGGTTTGCGGATGGGTTCTCCAATACCTAACTAAGACACTCGAGTGGGACTTTATTCGAGCATATCGCGCTATTTATGTCGGATATGCAGTCTTAGGTCTAGTAAAGCTTACACTAACGGTCCTTTTGAGCCACTCCGTGGAATCGGAGAAGAAGCAGCTCCAGCGCCGTCAGAGGGACGACGAGACAAGGCCGCTGCTAGAGGGTAATGCGGAGACTAACCCACCTCCCAAGCGTGGATTACGTGCTTTACTCCCAGACGTCAGTAAAGAGAGCGTCCCCGCGGTCATCACGCTGTGTCTTCTCTTCGCCCTAGATTCTTTTGGATCTGGGCTTGCTCCACTGTAAGTAACGGACCACTAGGTTTTGCAGGGCTATAACTAAAATGTCGTCAGATCATGGATTACATACTATTTCAAATATCAGTTCAACATCGAGGAGGGAAAGCTGGGCTCCATCTTCTTCGTGACCCAGATACTCGCCGGAGCCTCCATGATCGTCGCTTCCTCCCTCGCTAAGCGGTTTGGCAATGTGAACGTACGTCACACCCTCCATCTCTCTCCCATTACCACTATTATGGTAACCACCTAACATCTGTATCAGACCATGGTATTCACACACCTCCCCTCACAAATCTTCCGCGCCCTCCTCGGCGTCCCCAGCGACCTGCACTTAGCCCTAGTCTTCCTCGTCCTAAACTCCAGCACGCAGTCCATGGACAGCGGTCCGCGCTCCGCATTCCTAGCCACCATCGTGCTGCCCGGGGAACGGACGGCCGTCATGGGCACGGTCAACGTCGTCAAAACGACAGCCCAGAGCCTAGGGCCTATCCTGACAGGCGCCCTGGTCGATCGGAACCTGTTCTGGGTGTCGTTCGTCGCGTCGGGATGCCTGAAGATAGCGTACGACATAGGCTTGCTCGCCTTCTTCAAGGAGAAGGAGAGGGAGAGGGAACGGGCCGAGAGGCTCAGGATCCAAGGAGATGAGGATTAGTAATGGCGCGGCAACGCGGAATGCTAAGCTGGGTCGCTCTTGGCGCAGAAACGGGTTGATGTAGGGCGCTTATTAAGTGAGGACCTTGTTGGGCCGGTGACGTAGAGCGAATAGCCAGGGTAGGGCCCCAATCTTCACCTAACTTATATACCCTTCACTCCTCGTGTTATTTCAAATAAACCCTTATTTGACTTAGATTCACCCTATTTTCACGAAAAATTATGTGTTGGAAAGCTAAATAATGGAGCTGATAGATACATCCTTTGGGTCCATCCATCACATCATTTTACTATATTCATCAGATTACTCGATCTCGTCTTTTCCTAGCTAGAGTCAACTCCGAGGGAATACCTAGGTAGGTAGCAACCGCGATTACATAACACCTACATACCCATCCACAATACGCAATAACCAACCTTAGAAGTTCTCCTGACCAGAAAAGCGCTCGTTCTGCACAACTTCGACCCAATATCCGTCGGGATCAAGCAGGAAGGCGACGTTCTTCATCCGACCGTCCGTAAGCCTCTTCTTCCAGTTCACGTTCAGCGTCTCGAATCTCGAGCACGCCGCATCGAGGTTATCGACCGAAACGCCTGTTTCCTATTAGCTCTTATTCTTCTCCTCACGTTTTTTTCTTTCCTTTCTTTTCAACAACGCTTACTACAAGAAAGAAAATAAGGCACTCACAGATATGTCCGAAGCCCTGAGGCTCCGCGTTTCCATCATGATACTTAAACGCCTCGTCCTTCTCAGTCCCATAGTTCCACGTCAGCTCCAGCAAGCCCTCATAGTCGGCCGTGAACCCGTCTTCAGGCAAACCCTTGGTCCCGGGATACCCGAGGAAGTACAGGTTGAACTTAGCGGCGGGCTGCTCGACCGTGCGGAACAGGCTCATGCCTAGGACGTCCTGGTACCACTTGAGACTCTTCTCCGCATCCTTGACGCGGATCATCGTGTGGTTCTGGCACACGACCCAGGCGTTAGCGAACAATCACTTCCTCGTCACCCCGCGCCCTCGACTTAAGTGGGCATCGTATCAAGCGCTCCGAAGAAGAAGGGGGAGAAGAAAAAAACAACCCACCATCCGATACGTCCCAACATCCGTCACACTCGCCTCCTCCTCCGGGTCCTCCGCGCCCTTACTCCCCTTCCTCTGACTAACAATCTCGACCCAATACCCATCCGGATCCAGCGCAAACGCAATATTCTTCATCCGCCCATCCTGCAACCGTTTCTGAAACCCGTACCCGGCGTCCTCGAGCCTCTTACACGCGGCCGCGATATTATCGACCGAGACGCAGATATGCCCGAACCCGCGGTGCGGCTCGGCGTTGCCGTTGTTGACCTTGTAGTTCGGGTCGTCCTCCGTCCCGTAGTTGTGCGTCAGCTCCACGAGCCCCTGCCGGTCGAACGTGCTGTTGCCGTGCGAGTGCGCCGCCGCCGCGTCGTACCCCAGGAAGTACAGGTCGAACTTGGCCTCGGGAAATTGCAGCTGCTTCACCAGGCTCATGCCTAGGAACTCGTAGAATTTGACTATAAGAAAAAAAACGCACGCGCGCCTCCCTGTTTAGTTGATTGCGCTTATCTATTTTACTTACAGAGTTAAGAAACGTGGTGGGGTGAGTGAGCAATGCATACCGGATGCTTTAGGGTCCTTCACTCTTAACCTAGGTAGGGTTAAGTCGCCATGTTTAGAAATAGTTCCTCTTTACATGCTCGTACGTAGATAGAAGGTAGCTATGGTCTTACATGGAGTGGTTGAACTTATAGTTATTCGTGTTCGTAGTCGTCGCCATGGTTGCGAACGTGCGCCAAGCACCTATGCGCTCTCCCAATTAGATTCCACTACATCAACCATACGTATAGACAACTAGTCGCGAAAGACAAGAGGAGCAGCCTACCGATGAATTGGGTAGATGGGCGTAATGTAGATGATCGATATGGTGTTCTATAGAGAGCGCGGAGACACGACATAGGAATTGACATGAATTGACTGGCTGTCCTGATAGAAAGAAAACAATATAACTTCCATGTGCTTCGAGTAAAGACAATGTCTTGCTTGGTAGTGACGTTCATCGCAGCTACCCCGCCAAAGCCCCGCATCCGAATTGGAGACAACCTTGGACCACCAAAGATCGGTCGGGAAATCGGGATTAAGTACCCAAGTACCTACAAAGCTTTCACCCCTGGAAAATTGAAATATGGATGGGTTTATTACCGTCTATATACATCCAAACTTCGTAAATAGAAATACATCTGATCTATTGCTCCGTTTTCAGAATGCCCCTATATGCCTATATTCTGTATTCCCGCTACCGCGTAAACCGCCAAATTTCCGGTGGGTAGCTGGCGTCTCTTCTTTTTCAGACCTAGGTAAACTTCACTAATATACAGATAAAGACAAAGAAAATTGCTGAAGATTACTACCCACGTGAAGAACACTGACTCGAAAAGTAAATTTATGAAGTAAATTTATGGTAGTGCTACAAATAGCACGATACACCCCAACCACAATGTCAGGGGATGCGTCGGGTAACTGAACGTAGAGTCGTGAACTGTTACGCGCCTTGCGCGCAGCTTATCCGCCCTTCGAGGGTGGATTGCGAATGGCAAAACTCGGAATCATGTCGATCCAACCAGGCTGCTTAGCTTACCAACAACCCAATCAGTGTTGAAGTACTGGCTAGGGGTGACGAAGAACGCTAAGGCGATGATGATGTAGAGAGCCATCAACTATATCAAAATTAGTATCGCTGTCTAAATAAGGAGAAATCGTTAACATTACCATTGCGCCCTCGAGGTAGTTGGATTTTCCGTCTTGGACCGTGTAGATCACGACCAGCACGGCTAATGCGAACGACACAGTTTCAACTGGATTACGTTAGTTACGAACAACGGAGAATAATCTGAGTTAACATACAAGTCTCAAAATGAAGATCCATGTCTCTATCCATAATCCATCCGAGGACCACGAGGAATGGGGTTACGAACAAAGCAATCTGGATACTGGAGCCGATAGCAACTCCCATGGCCTGTAACTCGTTAGCTGCAACTCGATAACATTTTCTCGGAATATCCCTTACCAGATCCATCTTGTTTTTAACAGCCACAACAACGGCCGTGACGTGCTCCGCGGCATTGCCTACGATGGGAATTAGGATAAGACCAATGAAGCTTCGGCTTATATGAGCGCGTTCCACTAGAGCATCTATGCTTTCTACCAGATAGTCGGCGCAGATAGAGACCAGGACAGTCGCGACAATAAGGACGGCAGCAGCGGAATACGGGCTCATGTGAACTTCTTCCTCCTCCTCGCTGGACTCCTGTACTACTGGTCGCACATTTTCGGCCTGAGCATCAGCCGGTAGCTGCGTTTCGTTCTGCGCCGATTGTGACTCGACCCCTGACTCAGCACTAAACAGCTTGTGGTGCGTTCTTAGCTGGAAAAATAGATATAAAACGTAGAGAAGGAGCAGAATAATGGCCGTGCCGCGAGAAAGTGACAGGATGATGTTGTTGCGCTCGCCGGTGTCGCCTTCGTCGCTATCGTTGATAATCATGAACAACTGAAATATTTAGTATAAATTTCCTTAGACCCTGTGGTTTGAATAGAGTGCTTACCGTGCCGGGGAGGATCATGGAAGCAGCAGACAGGGTCATCAAAGAAGCGGTTGTCTGGGCAGTGATGGTCTGGAAGCTTTGTTCCTGGCCGTGGCCATCGCCGTCCCTCATATTGACGATGCCACCGAAGAAGAAGCACATACCCATGACGAGGAGTAGATTCGATAAGATCGAGCCAATCATGGACGACTTCACGACCTCGATTTGTCTGTCTCTTAATGCGATTATGCTAACCTGCAGGGAAGGTAGTCAATAAAACGGATCATGCATGTCATTGCGGGTTGGGGGCCGGCCTACGATCAATTCCACAGCATTGCCGAAAGTAGCATTGAGCAATCCGCCAAGAGCCTCGCCGAGTTTGACGGATATTTCCTCGGTCGCAAACGATAAGACGGCAGCTAAAGGAATGATGGCGAAAAAATTGATGACAAAAACGGCGACCGGATCCCAGCCGGCTTGACCAGCGATGATGCCAATCGGCACGGCGACGAGAAGAATATTGACCGGGCCTATCAAAGATCGACTTTAGTACATAAATTATCCCTACCTACGTGCCGAGATGCGGTATACGTACTGCTCAGTAGAGTAGCCTTAGTGATGTGCCATACGTGCGCTGGATACTTCACCCATGGCTTCGGATTGTCGGCACCGGGGGTGTAATGCGAATTGAAAAAGAACTCCCACGTGTCGCTATGTCCATTTCCATGTCCATGTCCATGTCCATATCCGTTCTGGGTAATGGTACCATTTCCATTACCTATTAAAGGCGTACCCTCGTGCGGCTCTCCATTCTCGTGATGATGCTGACTACCAACGGTCAAGCCCGTTACCGTCTTGCGGATTTGTGCGTGAAAGCTGGGTAAATTGACTAAATCGCGATCCATCGTCGCGCGTCATTGTTAGCCAACAGAATAAGCTAAGCGTCGGTCCGTCCGTCAATGTATCGGTGGTGACAGACACCACATACTCTGCGGGACGTAGCAGGCGCGAAGAGACGAAATCTAAGATAAAACAGAGAGGAACGGGGAGAGGGAAAGGTTCTGACTAATAATCGGGCATGCAATTGGGTAAATGTATGGGTGGTATAGGGTGTGCTGGGTGTGCTGGGTGTGGTATATTGAGAAGAGTTCTAGTCCAAAGAAAGAAGATGTCATCTGTACTTACACACCATTGGGACTCAATTGGGTTTCTCCGAAAGCAACGAAATGGAAAGAAAAAAAAAAGTGCAGAGATTGAGGCGCAGGTGGCCGAGAGAAAGCTACCAGGAACTGAGCCTTTGTTTTTTTCCCGCCCTCTAGAGAAGGGAAATGAGACTCAAGGGCTCAAGGGGGGTGACTAAAGTGCTAAAATCAAAAACAACGTTTCTAGGCGCAATACAGTTCGGGCGAGTCGTGATCACCGTGATCACCACAGCCAGGTAGCTTCGCTTCAATGTCCCTAGCGATCTTGGTGGCTTGTTTGGCTTGTCCTGCGTCTTGGACTCTTGGTATGTATTGGCATGTATTAACCTAGCAGCTTAGTATTCGAAGAAAGGTAATGAGAGGTCCTAGAATTTGCCAAGGCGCGGCTATTCGAACTTATTTTCTCGCAGGCCTAAGAAGGATTAGCTAGATGTATCTTTTTCTTTGTTGATTGTCCAAGTCACAGATGTTGACGTTGTCTGTTCTGAGATATACCTAGGTCACCAAGCTAATGGAATTGACTTTACTAGGTACGCTAGGCCCTTACACGGTGAAGGAAGCGTACTATGCACGTATGCAGCACTGAGCAGCCGTCTCATACCTTGCAGTAAAACGTGGCGGTAGCTCGAAGGGTGCACAAGGATCCAGAAAAGCAGGGGCTTGTGGGATGGTATACAGGGTGTATTACCTGACAGGGAAGCTAAGCACGACTTTCTAGCTCCAAGCCTCCAACCGCTCCGATTGTCAGGACAAGGCACCCCGAGCTCGACTGAGAAACGAATCAAACGATCTAAGCTGATCCAAGTCAGAGGTCAATCCTCAAAACAAGCACGCTTGGAACAGGAAAATAAAATAAGTGGATTTCCCCCGAACCATCCGGACCAGAATGAGGGAAAAGATGAAGCGACCAAGGAACGGCCGGTAATTGTAAGTACATACCTAAATATCTACACCAATGGCCTCCGCACCATGTCCGGCCGCCGCCAATTGACGGACAGTTTACGTACCTCATATCAACTGCTCATAGTACCGATTAATAGACGAGGAAATGCCAAGAGTGGCTATGCCGAAATGTCGTGAAACCTGAAAAGTTCTATGAAACAGTCTGATAGTGACGGATAAAGATGGAGGCCTCCCACAGTACTTGGTACGCACTGTACTGTACTTACAATAAACCACACTAGATCTAGATAAGCATACTCCTGGAATTAGTATCGATAAACCCGCCTTGCCTGCTTGCGTAAGTTACACAGCAGCACGTTGAGATAACGTGGGGTCTAGACGTCATCGTACGAATACTTCGCTCTACATATATCCATCCCCTCTCTTCATGTGTAAGCCAAGCTATACTAAAGAAGACTCGTCTCCTTATTGCCTATACCTGAGGTGGCCATGACACGTCCATTTCTATCATCATCGCCATAGGCTATTCGTAAGGCTCAGAACTTCGAGCTACCGAACCACCTACTGCGCCCGATCAATGGAAACGCGGGGTGAAAATATGAAATCAATTCTGCTCCTAGGTTAGAGGTATGTATACAAGTAGCTACTATCGGTATTTAGAGCCTATCCGCAAGACTCAGCCCAAATCCATACTTCGTGATCTAGCCTTGATCATTACTCATGCCAATATGTTCCTAAATGGGCCTTCCGCGTCTTCAATATATCCAGTCGTCTTGCTCAGTCCTTCAGTAAGCAACCCACCTCCCCGTAAAAACCGGTAAGATTCGTCCACCTATCACATAAAGGCTTGGAAATAGTCAGTTCACCTACGGTTCAAAAACTAGAACCAATCTGGACTTACCTGCGCTGTACGCCAGATACCACGTCAACGAAGCGCCCCCATCTAGCCATGCGGAATCGAAGTCCTCCTGCGTAAAGAATTTCCATGCGGCCTGAGGATCAACCGTGGCCAGATTGGCGTAAAGAATTCCCTTCCAGCCTCCGTCGACGTTGTCGGCTCGTCCGTTGTCAAAGTACGTCGCCCACTCTTGTTTGACGAACTTAGCGGGTCGAGTGAGCTTCGTGCTAGGCAACAGCGGTATCATATGGATACCTTGGACGTATTCAATGTTCGACCCGAAGTACGTCGTATGATCGCACTTATTCTCGAACAGAATACCGGCAACCCTGTTACCAACAAACTCCGGAGGCTGTACCTTGTTGTCTTCTGTGTAGAGGTAGTATCGGTTGAGAGAGCGAGCAATGATAGCTAGCATCAGATTACCCCTATGCATCAAAAACCGTCAGTTTATATAGCAGTACGTATTGGTCATATACTATTACCGGGCCTCCATATTAGAATCCTTGATCGTCTTTCCCCACATCTTGATAGCATAGGCATGCATCGCGTCTTCCGAACTCGATTCCTGGTCCTGTGAGACGGTTCAGCATCACCGGGTCACGATGTCATATTATTAACATAACTGACCTTTCCATCAGCCGTCTCAAATAGGCCATGTGCCCAGCTGTGGCCATGATACCAGTCAAAATTGCGGAAAATTGGGAAATATTTGTCTAAGGGAGAAGGATTGGCGATATCTCGGACCATCGTGTTCACAAAGTCGACGTTTTCTTTGGTTAGCCAACCAGGGTCGAGGTAACCGATGATGGCAGCGGCGTAGATAAAGTAGCCGTAGTGGAAATGGTGGTCGTTGTAGAATGTATTGCCAAAGTCCGCGCCGTTATTTCCTGTCTGGTAGGTTGCCGAAGAGACCAACCCTCCCCAAGCAGCTTCTAGAGTCAGTCAAACCCTGGCATTTGGATAGGTTCTGCTTACAATCATAATAGAGCGGAAATTGCTGTCTGTTTGTTGCGAATCGACTAAAGGCGACTTTCAATTTCTTCAGACCAGTCTGAGCCAACGTCGTGTTCTTCAGCAAGTCATTGGCCGTGTAACAAATTCCGGCAAACTTCGCCAATGCCTGTTCTAAACGTCAGCTACCAAACAGTAGATGTAGAATGATGACTACACTATGGTGAATGATACCTTTCCGCCAAAATACATCGAATTTTGATCCGACTGCTGTGATACGTCCTGAGCGGTCTCATTAACCGCTATCGGGCTGATCTGTTTAATTGCTGAGTCGCTCAAAGTCTTCTTCTCGCCATCGACGGGATCCCATGGAGCGAATCCCATTGAAATGGGCATATTCGGCTCAACCATTGTCCACGAATCTGCGACGACACCTACTGCCATTCCCTTGGTCGTAGTTTGCAGCTTTGCCGGAGTCATACTTTTATATGTAGCATCATCGAAAGCATCATAATGATGAGGCAGAGCGTACATCAGTAGCTTGGCACTCGAGAGTCCTCCCTTCTGGAAGGTGAAGGAATATGTACCCTTCGACCCAGAGATCGAGCCGGAGAGAGCTACACCAGTTGGGTATGCCCCAGATGCGGCATCGATTATAGTTTCAGCATTGCCTGGATCTTTTGCGACCTGAACGATACCGTCGAAAGGTTTCTCGGCCTTGGCTAATTTGTTGTTGACTACGGTGAGGTCGAAAGTGTCACCCTTCTCCGAATAGGCGTAAACATGCCATACTTTACCGTTTTCCAGATATAAGGTGTACTTGGTCACGCCTTCCTTGGGCCCTTTGATCGATTTCGTGACCGTCTTGAAGAAGATACCAGTGCTGATGACCGGCGTTCCTCCTTTGTAGATGGCCGTAACGAACCCCATGCCTTGCACCAGTGGGAATGTGACTATAGGCTTCGCCTTCGAGTCAGCTTGTAGGTTGACATTAGCCGACTGTGACGAGAGACTGTCAGTCGTCAAAGTGGTTTGTGGCCCTAGTTCCTGTGCCGAGAGACACAGAGACTGAATACCGATAGGGTTTAAGAAATATCTAGCGGCACCTGTCTCGCTCGACACCTCACCGTAGGTAATCTGGTCTGCTTCTGTATGCGATATCGCCAATCCCCAACTGGACGAGGCTCCCTGGCCCTGCGACCAAACCACTGAATAAGGATGCACATACGTAGGCGAGACCTGTTTACCGAGGAAGAAATTGGCGTAGAATTTGTTCGTGCCTATCGGTGCCGGTCCATTTATCCCTGTTCGAGCAACTGGATGGTCTTTTCGGACCGGGAAAATCGGCGAAGGAGCGCTCGTTGCAATTGGCATGCCGAAGATGTCTGTTGGCGGAGGCATGGTAGTGTTTTCCGGGTTAGCCTCGGGTCCAGATGGTTCCAGAATAGGGGTTGCGTTCGGTGGTATCCCCCCAGCTGTGCAATTTGTCTCTGGATCTGAGGAATTTGCAATGATACGGATACGTTGATGGCCCTCGGGGCGAGGATCCTGGCTTGCCGGTATAGGAGAGTAGTTATCTTGCAAAACTCGTCTAGTGAGCTTGCCTTGACGATATGACCGGATCCCGTTATTCGAAGCCCAAATCCAGGCTGTTAGGCCGGGGGAGACCTGAAGTAATGTCAGTAACCAAAATAACCGCATGATCAATCCAGAGAAGTGAATAGGGGTTAAAGAGAAAGTGTTTTTGGTGATTTTATTATAAGACTCTATCAGGAGGTGCTCGACAGCAACCAGTACTCAGCGTATGATGTTTTAAGTATCGTGATATCGTAGCTTCGTTAAAAGACATTAAAAGCAAAGGGTGTAGCAAAGTGTATCATAATACTATTTAAGTCGTAGACACGATCAAGTTCGAAGTTTGAAACCCAATACTCCGAGCCCAATAAGTAGTGGGCAGGTTAGATGTTTTCTTGACAGCCATGATGAATGGCTTGAGTACCTGATGGTGATACTAAAGAATGAAATCGGTGTACCAGACGACGGTTGACTCAGAATTGCCAGCGTTATGTGACGTGTGTAGTCTAGTCCATGTCATGAACTGAGCTGAGGAATGGGTTGTCTCGAAAAGGAGCTAAAGGGTCCTACCTATATGGTGGGTTTGAGCAAACGAAGGAGTCTAGAAGAGTCACTGGAATGAGACTCGAGAATTGCGGAGTGTCGCTATTGGAGAACGAGATAAACCCAAGGTTATACGAATTAGGGATATTGGAGATAAAAGAGCAAGAGAAATATTACTCGGTCTCAGGTAGCGGGTCTAGGTCTATGAGGCGTTGATAGAGAGAAGAGATGTTGTAAGGAAATAGTACTAGGTATGTAAGTATTATGGTGGCCGCGTCAGTTGACACGTTTAGTCAAATTCTAGGTATGAATTGCTGACGAACCATGAATGATAGCTTCGTGCTTGCCTCAAGTTGAGATATGCTACAAGTTGGAAAGAATGATGTCTCTTCACAACTTGACTTTGGAAGTCACTGTGTGCAAAGAATAAGCAGGTTTGTATAACCTGCATTTACGAGGCACCAATTGTCACTGAGCTCAACTTCGACGGACCCACTTATATGTTCTAGCGTTTCGATTGCTAAGACGTTCCTAGTGACGAGAAGGAGCATCTGGATAAGACACATAATAAGGTTGTTTCAACCTTTGCATACAGGTGATAGAAGTAGGAAGTAGGAGGTAGGGGGTATCACGACCCCTACTACGGTAGCTGTAACGATACTTGTCAGCCCCTTTTTCAAACACCGTGTCATCGGGAACATCAACCATGAGCCCAGAGATGACATGCTCATCCACAAACCAGAGCAGAGCGTCATGATGCATCGCATCTCTATAACCCCAACGCATCGTATTGACCGTTAATGTATGCGTCCCTGACTCCCGGCTTACTCAAAGGTTCTTGATTGGTAGGCTTGCTTTTCGTATGCTCATTTCTGACCGTGCGCTCTTCACTCTGGGTTCTCCGATCGAGAGAATATCCGTATTCCTTCCCCTTCTTTTTTCTATGCTCCTCAGCATCCACATCAGCCATGTGCTGCTTCTTACATCGGCGTATCTCTCTCCTTTCTAGCACCCAAGGTCGGCTTAGAACTTCTCTTCGAAATTCTTGAATCTTGTTCCAAAACTGGACCTCCTGATTTGTCGACCTGACTCGCTGCAATTTCTGAATCTGGATCTGTTTTTGATCCCTAAAGATCGTCGTACTACCCTTGGCCTCAACGACCATGCCGACATCAATATCGGAATATGGATCCGGAGCGGGAGGTACTGCGGTCGTCTCGTGATCTACGCCGTTCTGGCATTTATCATTGGCCGGCTTCGGGATCTTCACGCGACACTCGATACATGCGCCGGTGCTGTCATCAATTGTATATACTCGGCTCCCATGATATTCGTCTATTGCAACCACGACCCCAACGATGCGAACCCAACGAATGGGGTGGTTTAGAGAGAAAAAGACATTGTCGGCTTTGATATGGTCAGCTAAGTCGTACGTATGACGAGATCGCATATATGAATACCTTCAAATCCAGGTCGACGTTCAAGACCATGGATGTCGATAGCGCGCAGTGGACACCATTTGTTTATTGTCGGGGAGAGGTGAAAGCAATATGCGGGATAATACACAAGCGGCTCCGCACTTGTCATGGCATTTTGATAGTTGATTGCTAAAAAGCAATGCTGACAAGTCTGGCGAGTTGCTGTCTTGAAAAGTTGAAGTTGGCATTAGACAAAGTGACGCGACAAGACGCGGAAAGCTTCAGAGCTAAAGCTAGGGTATGCCCCACTTATTGTGTAGGGCTGCCTATCGAGCTCTGTAGCGCCTGCTTGCTTGAATGACGTATCGAGGTACATAATCGACCTACCCACCCAGAATGGAGTCAGAAAAAGTGTCCCATGTGCTAATCTTACTATATTACACTGTGACTCAATCTATCCCCTAAGTTACATAATCGGCACCCACTACACCCTAGAGCGCGTATAAGCTACCTATATATGTCGAAGAGGGGATAACTTGAATCACAGTACAAAACAGTAGCTTTAGCACATGGGGCACTTTTTCTGACTCCATCTGCCACCTACCCACTATAGGCACATTTGGGAGGTACCTAGGGATCACCCTTACTATAGTACGTTTGTAGATGATGCTATAAACAGCCATCATCTCGGATTAAGTGTTGTTATATTTATTGCAGCTGTTACTAAACAGCATTGTCGGACTTTAGACCCGATGCATACCTGTCCCGATGATTCCTTGCTTGCCTTAATACAATGCCGCAGACGCCGTGCAGAAGAAAATAACCAGATTAAATCAAGCGCTTCGTGATAGAATCACTTCTTTCTCCCCTTCTTAAGTCTTGCGGCAGCAGCTTGGAAGGCTTCCTCCGAGGGTTCCTCTTCCGGAACTGCGCGCTTTTTTCCCTTCTTAGTATTCGGCGCAGCGCCGTACTTGGCCGCGAGATTGTCTAGAAAATTGCTTCGGCCTTGCTGATTACTGCGGATAAGTGCTGCCAGGTCGTCTTCAGATGATCCCTTCTTGCCCTTGCCTTTTCCTTTACCCTTGTCGCCTTTCTTGTCCTTACCACCAAACAACTTGTCATGCACTCCTAGTTCCTTGGCATATTCCTCGGCTTCAGTACTCTCGTTCTGAGCAGCCTTGATTCGAGCCTCTTTGGACTTCTTACTCTCGTGCGTGTATGCTTTGAACGCGGGAACATCTTTGTTGGCAATTGCTTCGTCAATGATTGCGCGGAACCTTTCGTCATCTTCGAGGACGTCGCTAAGCATGACTGATTCATAGATTCCATCCATCTTGCCTTTGTGCTGTTCGTAAGCGATCAGGATATCATCCTTTTCTTCATCGGATCCCTTGTACTGCTGGGCGAACTTCTCTATCGCATCGGCAGTAATGCTATCGCGGTATTGCTCTCGATAGAAATCTGACCAGCTGAAGCCGTCCGAGTCGACAATGGACTCGGAAGTTGAGCCTGTCTCATCGTAACGTTTGCGTCTTGCCGGATCGGACAAGACGGCGTAGGCGAAGGCTATGGATTGAAAAGTCTCGTGTGCTTTTTGTTTCTGATCTTCGGTGACCTTGTCTATAGATGGCATAGTTCAGGATGTGGAATTGGTCAGATATTCCGTGCGGTCCAAAGCTTACCTGGATGGTTCTTTAGGGCGAGCTTTCGGTAGGCTGATTTGATTTGGCCCTCATCTGCCGTGCGCTCAAGGCCAAGGACCTCGTATGGGTCAATAATTGGCGGCTCGCCCACGAGGAGATCATCTGAATCATCCATAGCGAGTGAATAACACAAGAAGTGATGTAGATGGTGCAGATGGTAGTGAGTGTTCAATGTTTAATGTTTAGTGTTTGATGAGCAAAAGTATCAAGATCGCGTTACACGCGTTTCCTGTCTACGCGAATTATCGATAAGGCTCCGTCAATTAATTGTATTAGCGGGGTACAGCGGGGCAGGGGGTTACTAGCCAGGCACCCTATGCAAGTAATCGAAATTCGAATGGGCACGTGTATGTAATCCATTACCATTCTATCCCATCATAAGGAAAATGGCCGAAGAGATATTCAAAAATGATATAGTGGCAGGGGACCATATATCGTACATGAAGTTCGCCCTTTCTTTAGCCTCTAAATCCCCGCCGAAGCCTACCAACTATCGGGTCGGAGCCGTTGTGGTGAACGCAGCCACGAACGAGATATTAGCAACTGGCTACACACTAGAACTTCCAGGGAACACACATGCTGAAGAGTGTTGTCTTGAGAAGATTTCAGAGAGGCACGGTGTGCCCACAAGTCGCCTAGATGAAGTGCTCCCTGAAGAAACCATACTTTACACGACAGTTGAACCATGTTCTCAAAGGCTCAGCGGCAACTTGCCATGCGTGGATAGACTATTGGCTATAGGGAACAGGATCAAAACCGTCTACGTCGGAGTTTACGAACCAGAAAAGTTCGTAAGTGGTAATTCCAGCAAGCAGAAGCTAGAGAATGCTGGCATTGAATTTATTCACGTTGCCGGGCTTGAGAAGGAAATACTAGAAGTTGCGACAGCGGGCCATGAGAAATCTACGTAGTGGAAGAGCACATCAACCCATTTCAGAGAGGATAAGATGGTTTTCATGTTGTCTTAAACCATATCGATGTCTCGCATTTCATTCAATTGTGGTTTAGAGCTTGACCCCGTTGATGACCCCTTATTCCTTTTGAGATTTAGTGCTCCGTATTTCTCCGTTGAAGAAGCCTTGATTTGTGATTTGTTTTCTACTTGAGTAAATTTGCCAACCTACCAGCTTATTAGGGATAATTCCTCAACCTGGTATTGTAAATTTAATTGTTATACGTATAGTTTTGACTTAGTGAATGATGTCACAAAGTGATTTACGAAAAAAGGGAATTCATAGAAGTAAATGAGAAAAAATATGGTTCGCAGTATCTCTTTAGAAGAGATGCATCGGGAATTGAGCCCGATGCGGGGGTCGAACCCGCAACCTTGAGATTAAGAGTCTCACGCTATTCGGATGGTTAGCATCGTATGGTTAAGAGAACATTGGAGCAGTCAACTAACCTCTACCGATTGAGCTAACCGGGCTGATTCCGGACGAACCGGATGTGGTGACTTGCTCAGGATTCTCAGTATATGACAATGCTGGAAAAGGTCGTTACGGAGCTCCGATGTTGTGCCGGTCGTGGTTGCCTTTCAATTGGCTAAATTGATTCGGCAAGTGGATATTCGGTTACCGATTTTGGAAATCTTAGGGCTCTATGCTCGTTTCGATGCTACGACGGCGGCTCAAACATCACACATCAAGTTGGAACATAGTGTCCTCATTTTCTATAATACATGGTTACCTAGGTATTGAACCAACGTACGTTTTAGCTTAGAACTTCTTATAAATCTAGGAATTGGAAGCTTCAACTGTTATATGGCTCGGCTCAGCTAAGCAATTCGAAGCGTACAAAACTCATGTGTATGAGGGAAAAAGTATGATTCCTAAGGGAATAGAAAAGTCCTGGAGGAGGCTTTTCTTCACCGACATAGCTAGATGCTCCAAGTTCCAAGGTACCTATTCGAGTGGCAACGAAATTTATCACCCACCTAGGCTTCAGAGCTACCTAGATGATGACGTGATAGCAGGGAGTATGTTTATATCACCGCTCCAATGATTCCCGGGGAACATTCCTTCGGGGAGTGTTGTCTCTAAAGCTGTTACACAAGCTTCTCTAATCCATGCAAGTCTGTCGAAAGAAGGAATACCTATACGGGTATCTATCTACCTACGGTTATACCTACATGTAGACCACCCGCCAGAAAATCACGCCACCAGCAAGTACATATGTAGGTCAAATGGTAGCCGAATTATGTAGCTATCCCCCGTTCGCAGAAGGTTATGCAATAGGGAACGCGGTTCTGGATGTTACCGAGGCGAGTGCCGAGCCAGTGAGAACAACGCTGGAATGCATAAAGGCGTCGCATTACACCAATTCCTCGTTGACTTGCTTGATTCAAAGAGCACGTGCAAGTAGCCCCAAACTCACACTATTGCTGTGTTAGAAACTAGACTGGCTTTTGGTAGGTAAGTTAGTATCTCCGCCGCCCTCGTAACTCGGGGACTGTGGAGATTGATGGCGTGCAACGCGGGCCGGTCCGGTAACATCTTGTACTAAGTGTCCCCATGGGGTTCAGTTGGGTTAAGATGTGCAACGAGTTCTATCGGATTACTACCCGCTACCTGCCTGCCTTTCATATCGTCAGAGGACACGAGAAATTTGGATCCCGAATGGTTGTCGGGAGGATGTAAAATGATTTAGGCTCGAAGGCTTGACGTGTCGCTCAATTATTAGGGGGGTCCGACATGCGAGGACGGTTCTTGTTCTCCAATAAGAGGCTCTTTTCCACCTCGTCAAGACATTGTCCGCAGATCTTGTAACCTGAGAATAAATTGTGGGGTGGCTTTAGGTAGTTTGCATAATGCGTACGGATGGCCAGGATGGCCAGGATGGCGTAGGGCTACTTGTCGGATAGTTGAGGCTGATTCATGTACCCGTTTGCTATTACCATATTTTATAAAGTGAAGACGAGGGCTCCTTTGCTCAAGTAGATATATCGAGTATCCACGGATAGTAGAGATGCTTGAATAGTTGCCCGAGTGCTAGCTAGGTATGGAGTTCAAAACCACTTGCTGGACTGATAGAGTATGTAGGTACTTGGGCAACCATTGGGATGTGGGATGTGAAGTATCCATGGATCCAATGGGTTACACACCTGGGCGTGCATAACCGATTCTATGAGATGTCAAGAACGAGTCGATTAAACCTTGAGTATTTCGCAATCTTATACCCCATATTCCAAACGGCAAATCCAATCAAAGAACAATACTCGCATGAAAGTGTTGCGTTCGATCATAGAATTAATATAATACGTAAGATCATTGGGTGGTCGTTAATACGGAATGGACAAAAACCTGTTGGAAATTCTAGCTGCCTCTGCTGCCTAGTCCCAATGACTCATAAAGTGGCTAGCTTTGACATAAATGGCTGTTTGTAATTGTAGTGAGCTGACGGGGTTTTGCTGTTTAAAAGAGACATGTCATATTATGCTGGAGGGGAAGTTAGGTAGGTAGGTATTGCTGATAATCTGTACATAGTAAGTACATTCACATTATTGCCTGCGAACGAACTTAATAAATTTGATATTCATGTCGGTGATTTGACCTTGTTGGACAAGTTTTCCTAACCAATCTGTTAATAGGTGGGTGTGACGGGTACTATTTATTCTAAGAAACTAATTGGGACAATCTTCAAGTGAGATACCCATGATACCAAAATTGCAATAACGTTAATATAATATCTTGGATGGAGCTAAGAGTGTAGTAAAAATTACTTTAGTTTATGAAACAATCGCCAACGAGTACTGACTTCGTTGCTTCTTTTTCCTCTTCCTCGAACACTTCCCGCATAGTGACGTTTCTTCGCTTTCATGCAGGACGTAGCTGAGCTTGGATAACGCCACACAGGGCAGGGGGCGTGAGGGCTACCTACCTAAGACAAGGATACCTGTACCATACTCGCGGAACGCAAATGCGCGGTACTTATCCCGCCAAGCCGTAAATGGTTAAGCAGCTTGGCGATCGGGGAGAAGGTCAACTACTTGCATCCTTTCACCGCTTGTAATTTTCAACGAAGGTTGAAAAAGTAAAAGACTTGATGAGTAGGGAAATGGAAATGAGAACTGCGGCCCGTTTGTGATGCGGATGGTAGGTAACTTGCGTAACCTCATGTACTAGGTAGGTTATGCCTAAGGAGATGTACTTGTATGTACCTACATATCTTGAGTTAATGGGTCCATTCTATCCATGGTCCCTCTTGTTGGCAGGGTGGGCCTTGCAGCTTCAGATGCCCTAGTAGCTCTTTATACCCCCTCCATCCTCTTCTTTTAAGTTCCTCTCCTACCGTCTCTATCACAACTTCCTAGAGACGGGGAGTTGTATGGACGTCTGAAAAGTAATTATTATTCAGAAGTTCGCATTCTTCTCTGTTTGGGAGACATCAATCCCTCATCTCCTATCGTATTCGGTTTATTTTGAGTTACCTACTGGCTAGAGTCTCGGCAACAGTCCTACTTTGGATATCTACAGCAACCCACCCACACCCGCACCATCTGAGCCTCATCTACCCCGTTTGAGCATCTACTTAAGCATCTACTTAAGTTTCTAGGTCACCCTAGCTGTATAAGCAGAGCAGTCTTTGGAAAAGTTGTCGTTGTTTGCTTTTACCCCACAACGCAACCATATCACCACCACATTTGGTATGTAACTAATCTGCTGAATCAACGCTCTTGTGCAGTAGCCTTAGGTTTCCTACATCTCAGACTGCCATACCGTTTTCTGTTGCTTCCTAGCCAAACGCCTTTGTCGCTTTAGCAAGCGAACCACAATCATTTTTTCAAACGTGGTCTCTTGCTTGCAGAACACGAACTACCCTGAGTACCTAAAGAACCAACGCACACACACACGCCTGCACTCTCTCTATATATACATATTCTTCCCTGTCAGCTAATCAATAATTCATTTTTCATTCCGTTGTCACCCATATATCCACAAGTGAGCCAAATCATAAAGTTCGACAGCTCATAATCTTTTAACAGGATTATCACGTCGTATCTGTAGCAAAGTTTCCTGTCACACGTATCTGGACGTACCTACCGATCTTGACATAAGTTTTCCTTCATTCTAGTTTCTGATTCATCATTCAGCGACTGCCATGGCCGACCGTGGTAGAGGTAGAGGTCGTGGTGATCGCGGCAGAGGACGAGGAAGAGGAGACTCTTCTGGAGGACGTGGCGGCGGTGGTGCCACATTTTCCGGACCAGGATATGGCGGTGACTACCGTGGCGGACGAGGCGGTGGTGATTATCGTGGTGGACGAGGCGGTGGCGACTACCGTGGAGGAGGAGGAGGAGGGGGCCGAGGTAGAGGCGATTTCCGGGGCGGACGGGGTGGCGGCCGCGGCCGCGGGGATAAGTTCATGGGCGAGGATAAAGTATTTAGGTAAGTTGAGGTCCATTCTATCACCCATTCAACGCTGACAGAATGTAGGGCGAATGCCGTGCCCAGGCCGGATCCCGCTGTGACTCAACTGGAGGATAAGATCCTTAAGGACTTAGATATGACAGCCAAAATGGCTGCCCTTCAGGTGTCCAAGGGCGCGAAGCCCAAGTCTGGAGAGAATTTACCTCTTCGGCCCGCTTATGGTACCAAAGGTACCGAGGTAACACTTTGGGCCAATTACTTCGCGTTGGATGTGAAGACCCCATCGCTATATAGCTATACAATACGAACACGGGAACACAAGAAAGGTGAGAAGAAGGAGGACACAGAATCACCCAAAGAAGAACCTGGAGCAAAAGGAAAAGGAAAAGGAAAAGGCAAAGGCAAGGGGAAGGGCAAGGGCAAAGGCGGGGATGGAGACGGCGACGGCGACGGCGACGGCGATAAAGACGGAAATGATAAGGGTAAGGAGGCTAAAGGGATGAAACTCCGGTCTCTTATCAAGTCGGCCTTGGATCAGGTTGCTAAGGGAATTCCCTACGCGACAGAATTCAAAGCACAGGTTGTTTCTACGGCCCCCCTTAAATTGCCCAGTGACAAAAAGGTCGAAATCGCTTATACCGAAGAGGGCAAGAACGATATATACGATGTCATATTCGATACTGCGCCCGATATCAACATGGATGCTCTGAGGACCTATATTGGATCGATGCAGGCGCCACCTGGAGAGGAACAAAAGTTCCCTAGGTTCGCAGAGGCTATTGACGCCCTTGGAATCATCACTGGGTATTGGGCACGAGCCAACGATAGAGTCGGCTCTGTGGGTCGCAGTCGATACTTCCCCTTGGATATGGACTCAGAGAAGAACTCTTTGGGCTATCCCGATCTTAATACCGTTATTCGTGGGTATTTTCAGAGTGCTAGACCCGCGACAGGCCGGCTACTTCTGAATGCAAACGTCAGTCACGGCGTATTCCGTCCTGCGGGACTCGCATCTAAAATGATGGAGGATTATGGGACAAACAACCCTAGAGATCTCAATAAGTTCCTGTCGGGACTTCGCTGTATATGCCGGGTCCTGCCGGACAAGACCGTACCGGGATCGAAGGAAAGATCTTTCAAGAAGCTAATAGTGGGCGTCGCGATGATGAATGACGGTAGAGGTACCACGAATGGGCCAAGGGTGAAGCGTGACGGTGCCCGACCTTCAGAGGTCTCGTTCTATTTGAACGGCGATGCTCCTCCTGGCCTAAAAACGGGCCAGTACTGCACGGTCGCGCAATATTATCTGCAGAGTACGTGTTCCCTCTCCCCTCTCTCAACGCTGATACTAAGAATTGCGTAGAGTACGGGTACCGACCCGATGACAGGTATCCAGTGGTGAAATATAACCGCCAGAGGCCCACATATTGGCCTGCAGAGCTGGTCCAAGTGATCGAGGGCCAGGTTCTGAGACGTAAGACTACGGCTGACGAGACCGCAAATATGATATTGTATGCTTGTCGGTCGCCCTGGGCCAACGCAATGTCCTTGAGTACTGTGGGTCGTAAAGTTCTGGGCCTTGACGGCAACTCCAAACTTGTAAGCAATAATTCTCAATAGCGAGTGCGATTTGGCCCTGATTGCTGATTGTATTAGGCGGAATTCAGGGTTACTGCTGGCAAGGAGCTCTTGACGGTGACGGGGCGTGAACTCATGGCTCCTGATATTGCTTACCTCGACCCCCGGAACAAAAAGATTAATGTCAAGACCTTTGAGGGGGGTTGGAATATGAAACAGGTCAAAGTTGTCAAGCCTGGTCGACCAATCAACAAGTTTACCTGGCTTACTATTCATTATGGCAATCCCGATGGACAAATACAGTCTGCCATGAGGGCATTCATCGAACACATGGGAAGGACGGGCATCAACATCACCTCCGGTGGTCCGTATAAACCACCTTCTGATTCCTATATCCCAAGAGGGGCAGAACCATTAGCGATATTGAAGGATAAGTTCGAGAGGCTCGAAAAAGACCCTCCTGACATGCTGTTCGTTATTCTTCCTGGTAGGAAGACAGACTCAGCGATATATAATGCTGTCAAACTTCTAGGCGATGTTCAGTTCGGAATTCCCACAGTTTGTGTTCTGCAGGCCAACATTGTGAAGTCGCAACTTCAGTATTTCGCCAACGTTGCGCTAAAAGTAAATCTCAAGATGGGAGGCGCAAACCACAGACTGAGTAACGACGTCCCAATTATCAAGGAAGGAAAGACAATGGTTGTCGGGTACGATGTAACTCATCCGACCAATTTAGGGAAAAACACCGATCATCTGCCAAGCTTAGTCGGGATGGTTTCGAGTGTCGATCAGGACCTCGGGCAATGGCCTGCTGTGGCTTGGTCGCAGGTTTCGAAGCAGGAGATGCTCGACCAGACGCTTCTCACAGAAAAGTTTCGCGAACGCCTAGGTCTTTGGAAGAAGAACAACAAAGGCCAGCTGCCGCAGAACATCTTAATCTACCGAGATGGGGTATCTGAGGGTCAGTTCAGCCAAGTCTTGGACAAGGAGCTACCTTCAATACGAGCAGCCTGTGCTGCCCTATATCCGCCGAACCAGTCAGCCAAGCTCACGATTGTCGTCTCAGTGAAGCGTCATCAAACACGCTTTTATCCAACGAGCGAGGCGCACATGACAAATTCCAGGAACATCAAGAATGGCACAGTAGTCGACCGTGGAGTCACCCAGGCTACAGTTTGGGATTTCTTCCTCACCGCCCACCAGGCCTTGCAAGGTAACATCTTCCACATTCAACCTATCCGCTACGCCGTATACTAACCTAGAATATGATGTAGGCACGGCGCGTCCCGCACATTACACTGTTTTGCTGGACGAAATCTTCCGTTCCAAACAGGGAACAGGGGCAGCGGATGGTTTACAGACGTTAACGCATGAGATGTGTTACTTGTTCGGTCGGGCTACCAAAGCAGTCAGCATATGCCCTCCAGCATATTACGCCGACATTGTCTGCACTCGTCAGCGAGTGTACTTGTCCGACTACTTTGACCGCTCGGATACCGAATCCATATCCACCGTTGGTAGTTCAAACCGCGTGCCGGTTCGTAACATCCACCAAAACTTGAAAGATACAATGTATTACATTTGAATTACGGTACAATGGTATGAGGCTTGGTTTCGTTTGGATTGTTAGGAGGAAAATGAGGATTGGTATCAGGATTTCCATTGACTGGGTCTGATTTGGTAATATCCTTGGGAATATTCCTTCATTAACGATCTCTGTTGGATTTGTAAGTGGTTTGGCCGTATGGGAGGTTCGATCTCACGGTATTTTAGGTAGAGAAAAAGTAGGGTAGAGCGTTGAAATGAGAACAGCGTCACTATCGGCAATGTGCTGATCTACGGAATTCCCTTGTCTACCTAGACATTGGCCTGGACGCCTCGATGTAACTTAATGAGCTTCTGCGATGGTGTCTGAGAACGAATAACATGGTATGTCGCCTCTTCCACATCGTAAAACCAAACGCCTACAAACCCATCTACATCAAAAGCATCTTATCCATCCATGCAGATCCCCATTACATTCCCAGATACCTAACAAAGCAAATAACCCACGCTCCCTTACCTAACCCCCTTCTTCCTCAACTTCGCCGCATGCAACTCGCCCGCACCCTCGAACAAAGCATCGAACTCAGGCGCCGGCGTGCACGCCCGCTGGTACTCGTACAAACCCCGCGCAATCGCCCCTTTTCTCCCCCCTCCGCCACCATTACCACCACCACCTCCTCCTTCTCCACCGTCATTCCTCCCAATCTTCTTCCACTCCAACCCCAGCGCCGCCACGAACGCGACCGCAGCCGCGCCAGCAGCAATGCAAAACGTGCGGCGCAGACCCGCCGTATACGCCTGCAGCACGGCATCCAGCATATCCTCTCGGCCGACGGAAGCGAGGACCTCGCGCACCTGGCCCGCGCCGCTGTGCGTGAAGAGGGCCGGGTCGAGCGTAGGCGCGAGGCGCGATAGGGAAGAGATGAAGCCGTTTTGGAAGACGGTTTGCGATATCGCGATGAAGAGCGCGCCGCCTAGCGATTGGAAGAAGTTTACGCAGGAGGTGGCTTGTGGGATTAGTTGAGCCTGTGAGGAGGAGGAGGAGGAGGGGAGGGAGTTCTGGGCTACGATTACCCCGGCTTGGAACCCGACGCCGGTGCCTAGGCCGTCGAGCACGAGGTACCCGAACCAGGCGGCGGAGGGGGTCGAAGGGCCGAGGGTTGTGATTAGGCCCGCGCCGATGGCGATTAGGGCTGTTTCGAACAGGATGAAGGGGTTGTAGTACCCTGTTGCGGTGATCAGGGCGCCGCTTACGATGGAGCTGAGGACGACGGACATTAGGAGCGGGAGCAGCTTGATGCCGGCGTGGACGGCGGTGTCGCCTTGGATGGCTTGGAAGTAGAGTGCTGGAAGGGGGTTAGAGGCTTGGTTCCATGCGGGGAGGGGTTAGGTTAGGATAAAAGGGGTGCGCTTACAGAGGTAGTAGATTAGGGGGAAGAAGGAGGCGCCGAAGAAGAGGGAGAACTGTGTGTAAAGTAAGTAATTGCGACGCACAAAAGGTCCCAAAAGTGAGTGACGTCTTGGTTTCTCGTTATTGGTGACTAGGTACAATGAAAATAGGTATGCTTACCAACATAGCGCATAGCAAGTTCCTATTCTTGAAGAATCGAGGCGGGAGTAGCCCCTTATCCTGTTGGTAGTGCTCGATGCCTATGAATATCAAGATCATAATACCAGCACCTACGAATAGGCCAACAATACGTCGATCGTTCCACTGTGAGATCTCGAGTTAGTGACACGAGCGAGGCTATACCTAAATATCACAGATAGATCCATACAGCGTATTGAGCACCACCCCACTGAAGCGCCAGAAGAAACAAAATAATCGCCGGGATCAAGACCACGGCTCCTAGCAAGTCCAGCTCCAGAACCCTCTCGAACAAGGTCTTATTCTCCGGATTATTCACACGCGCAATATTCAGAAAGAAGGAAATAACCACCATCGCCAAGCCCCCGATCGGCAAATTGATGTAGAAGCACCAGCGCCAAGTCAAATGATCCGTGAAGGCGCCGCCGAGCAGCGGGCCGGCGACGGACGCGATCCCCCACATGCAGCCGAACATGCCGAACATGAAGGGGCGGCGGCGCAGGGGCAGGGCGTACGAGAGGATGACGATGGAGCCCGAGAACAGGCCGGCGGTGCCCATGCCGGCGACGGCGCGGCCGACGACGAAGGAGGCGGAGTCGGGCGCCGCCGCCGACACGAGGCTGCCGACCTCGAAGACGGCGACGGCGCCGAGGAACGCGCGCTTGATGTCGAAGACGCGGTACACCTTCCCGTAGAGCGGCTGCAGCGCCGTCGACGTCAGCAGGTACGAGCTCCCGTACCACCCGATGTCCTTGACGCTGCCGTACTCGCCCGTGATGGCGCCTAGGGCGGGGGCGATGATGGTTTGGTCGAGCGCGACGAGGAAGACGGCTAGGCAGAGGGATAGGATGACTAGGTATAGCTTCAGTCCTGAGGGGTACTCGTTGTTGTTGTCTTCGTCGCGGCAGAGATGCGTGGTCGAGTGTACTTCGAATGCGGTCTTGGTGAGGTCGATGTCGTAGAGCCCCTTGTCTTCCCAGGATCGCGTCAGATCGAGGGAGTTGGCGACAGTATCTACTGAGGTAGACATTATGATGTGTTCGTGGACTCAAGGCCGTATCCTCTAGGGGGGATTATCACGGCCGTAACCGGGTCGGCTGTAGGTGGTATACGATGGCGGAAGAGATAGCAGAACATGAAATTTCTGAAATCAGAAGACACGGGAAAATAGAATGACTGGAATCCAATTGGCATCATGGCTTACATACACGCATACGCAGGGATAGTCGGCTCGGGGACCGTCACCATATCCAGGTGCAAGAAAATACGAACTGTCTTCTCATTCTGAGTAGCCGTGGTATGCGAGATGCAAACAATAGGCTCTATGCAAGCTGCGGTGTCCAAGTTTGTTCAGTCTCCGATAGTTTCTGGCGGCCGCAACACGAAGTGAGAGTCACGATTACAACTATCATAATCTCCCCTGTCAAAAATCTAGTAAACAGAGGGTTGGAGTTTGCTCGTGGGTGAAACCCACAGTCCATCTTAAAATCCCGTCCGAAGTTATTGAGTGTATTAACTGGATGCATAGATTAGCTGTCACAGTTAGTAGACTGTAGAGCACCTGTTTCGTCCAAGGTTAATCTTCGTCGCTGGAATTAAAGTTGAGGCCTCGTCATGAATCTCCTAAAATTGCTTCCACTAAGGTTTAGCAGAATCGAGCCCCTCTATGAATAGCATCGGCCTTTAAGTCCGATGATCCGTAATAAGGTGACACCTATGGAAGTCATAGTTTATTTGACCTTCTTGCCTTGCTGAATATTGCCTGTCTGCAATCTCATCGTCTGGATAAGTGTTAGAAGATCCAGTGCCATGTAATCCCACCAATCTTTAAAGTAGAAATTAGTCTCGAACTCCTCGTTACCTACTTCACACTGATCTATATTATTAAATCGCATAGCCCCGAATAAACATGAATAGCCTTCCCCGAGAGGTCGTAGAATCCACGGTGAGGACCGTCCCCTAGTGCGCATGCCACGTTATCATGCAAGCCTTCAATAATCCTGCCACTGGTTATGTATCCAGGATATCTTACCCCCATGATGAATAACAGTTTCCCAAGATTGCCTTGGGGAATAATCCTTTCATTGTTATTATATATATTTTTCTTCTGCTGATTGGAGGTATCTCGAGATGAGATAGAATAGTAATCTACCGTTCCCATGAGGTTGAATTTTGAAGCAGGTCTTCAGGCAGTGAAATAACACTCAGTAAGAAAGCTTCCACAAGAATATCTTACTCACCGAGGCACCGCTTAGCCTAAGGGTAATCTCTTCAATTGGCTCCATGGTTTCAATGGTTCGTCATTGAAATTGTCCAGTAATCATAGAACTCTCCAGGTTCTCCGTAATACGGGTAGCAAACTCTCTTCACACATGTTACAAACGACCATCCGTCAACTACCATGCATCGTACATGTATGCAAAACGAAACCGTTGAGCATAACCCCTTCTTTGGTGTAGCTATTGGTTTCATTGGCTTCAAACCGGACACCTGAGTGGGAGTGCTGGGGACCATGTCTTCCCGTCAGCCCAAGCATCCTAGATCGTCAATCCTCTCAATTAAGAAGCGGAATTGATGCCAGAAGACCGTCTCGTGTGGAACCCAATAATCTGGACCTAAATAACTCGACAGCTCGGGTAACGTAGGTAGGTAGGTAGTCATCCCCAGCACCCCATAGATCATATCATGCTCATATGTAGCCTGTCTCCATCGAAGCGCATGTGTGAGGATCGTATACAAGTTACTAAGGAGTCGAGAGATGGTTTAACGCCTGCTGGAAAAGAGGCGTGGTCCGAAACGATGCATTAGGTCCACCATGTTGGTAGCAATGCCACCTTGCATCATGCCATAGAACGCGGGTGAGAGAGGCCAGGTATGCTTTTCCGAAGCAGACGTATTCTTGAGGAGATACAGGGACTCCATAGCCATAATTCGGTCCTGTACCATTAGAACAGTTGTCTTAGACAGCACTGCTTCTTGAACTATCCAAAAGGGCCTGAACCAAGATCGACGCAAGATATTCTTGTATCCCGTTGGTATACTATTTCCACAAGCTTTCGGTAATCGCTACTAGTAATAGGTGATTTCTCACTTCACTCGCCTCCGTCTTCAACCAGGAGTAATTTCAATCAGCTCATCGGAAGTGTCTACAAGCCTGTAAATGTAGCGCTTTTCCTCTCGGCGGTGCCGCGATTGCTAGCCATGCGGCAGTGCTAGAGGCCAAGCTGAATATGTCCCGCGTACGCGGCATTTCGCAGTTCCTCTTGTCGACATATTGCTGATCGATATGTATATATATAGCGTCGACCCAGCGAGGTTGACACGGGAGTGAATCAGCGAGGGTTACGTTCATATGAACGTGCTGGAGGTTTAGGTTTGCATTGATCAAGCACACCTTGGTCCTAGTGCCTAGTGCTGGAACCCGTCAGGCCTATAGGTACGCCGTTTTGCTGAGGCCAGTTTCATTCTCGTTAGAGATTCCTACGTTTGAATGTATCGAAACCGATATAACGCTTTGTACCCGTTGGTGATCACTGGGAACACCTGCCTTTCACCTCTATATTCTTCGTATAGTTGGGATCTCCATAGACATATGACGAGGCTCAGTAGCCCAGATCCTGATCTAAATTGCCTAACGTGCATAGCTCAAATTCACATCTGATGGGGTCATCGGGTAGTCCCGGCTGTATGAAGGTGAGTCGGATCTGAGATCCCGATAGTGGGCGATATATTGGCGGGCCGTCTATATTCTCCTTTGAACCTATGACCCGGTTCTTGCAACGAACCGACGGGTTTCCGGTATCTCATTAGAACATTGGCGTAGATAAACTTCGGAAGGAGGCGAAGCTGCCAGCACATCAAGGTGCATATTACATGGCTACCTAATCATAGAGATTGTTTGGGGGTCGAGATGTAATTTACCTTCTCCTATTCTAACCACTTGGTTTGAATGTGTCAAGGCATCTCTGAACAGATGACTATTATTCGTATATAGAACACAAGTGACTCTTGTGTAGGTAGATATATGTTTGTCGGAAAAAAGGGGGAAATAAGAGTTTTGTCATAGCATCTGATGTCGAATCAGGGGCCCATCGCCGCGTCGAAGTAAACAGAAAAATACAAACCTATAGGCAAAATCTGAAGATGAGTTTTCAATCTTCTTCAGGCCTTGGCAGTCAAATTTAACTTCTTATTTTCGCTTAGTACTTCTGCATTGCGGCTGTCAGCCTAGCGTGTCCTGATTCCGCTAGTAGTGAGGCTAGCTGGCCCTTGATATTTCATCAGATGACAGACATCGGTGAGATGGTTTTGGCAAGCTGTGACTATAACCACAAATGATTGCTTTTCGTTCAGGGATCTTTTCAGCTCAGTAACCGCTATAGTTCTAAGCGCGATTAGACCTAGACCAAAGCTCGTAAAAGGCAGGTCCACTTACTGTCAAATGAGATAATCGCACATTTCCTCATACTGGCCATGTTCGAGATTCAGTGTTTGCTGATCCGAGGTTCGCGGTCGCCTGTACTAGCTTTTTTTTTTTTTTGTGCTCATATTGCCTTGTGGTTAGAAGATACCCCCCGCCGCCACTCAATGCATAATAGGAAAACGAGGTATTGGGGGCGAAAGTCAAAAGCCACCAGATATCGCCAAGGACGCTCAGCTGAAAAGCTATTTGCGCTAATAAACGCTTTTACCGAATCACCATAAGTGAATATCCACGATGCTCCATCCATCTTTTCTCGTAGTCATACCGACGTGGATTCCCCCGAACCTCTGGAGGCTTGCCGAGACTACTAATTAGAAAAAGACGTTCAGCTATTGGAGCTCTTGTGCAATTGTGACAGCCAGGCGGGTCAACATCCTTGCCATAGAGGTGCAGCTTCCTGGCCTCGAGATTATGCTAGCCCCTTAGCTTGTCAGCCTAGCCAGGCAGTCGAGGGGTTTTCGCAGTGAGTCGTTGTGCCAGTTTGGGATCGGGGCGAGATGAGGTCGCGAGAGGACGGAAGATAAAAGGCGCGTGCTGGCCATGAGCGTCGCCACGAAAGTTTACCCCCCTGGGGCACCTCTTTCGATCATAGATATCCAGAACTCAACCGTCACGCCAGTGATCTCTCCGATACCAAAATCACGATGCATACCCGAAACTTCGTTCTTTTCGTTGCGCCAGTTGCTCTTGCTGCAACACCACGAGCGCGCTCTGGCCTACCAAAGAGCCTAGCTCAATCTAACCTCCTCAATTCTTTTGCAACGTGTGAAACGGGTTACGTCACATGCGAAAATGGCTGCATGCCCTCCGACAGTGTATGCTGTAACGACAGTACCGATGAGTACTGCCTAGAAGGTTATTACTGCATTCCGAACGCGTGTTGTCCTGAAGGCGAAATATGCAGTGGTTCTAGCGATGACGACGCCGATTGTGATATTGGCGAGACGGAATGCGGAGATCTCTGTATGCCGATAGACGGAACTTGCTGTTCTGACGGGCTTCACTACTGTCCTGACTTCGGCACATGTACCGACGATGGGTACTGCTGCGACCTAGGCGACGACTGCAGTGGAAGCAGTTTCTCGGATTTCTCCAGTGCCACCGCCTTCACCTCCACCACTAGCCGCACGACAACAAGGACGACTACTAGCACCGTAGACTTGGCATCCACGAGTAGCAGCAGCCGAACGACATCGACGACATCGACGAGCTCAACAAGCTCGAGAAGCTCGACCACTTCTAGCTCTACCACCGACGACTCAAACAATGATGCACCCGTCACTTCTGCTCCTGCTGTCACCACAACTGTATCCCAACAGGCTGGCGGAGTTTTCACAGCCGACGGCAGGGTCGCTGCTGGCCTTGCTGTGGTCGCCGCATTGCTGGTTTAGAGGGGAAAAGATTGGTTGAGGGAGATAAGAAATATTGATAATTAAGGGGGCTTAAAATTCTTGTATATATTTAGGTGCTTAGTCGATAATGTAGGGTGTTGCAAACATTAATGAGTACATATGATGAGCATTGGAATAGAGAGTTGCTTACCACTTCACCTTACGCCTCAGTTTTAGTGATGCCGGCAAGGGGACTCAGTGTCCCTCTTCGTATAGTTCATGGTTTTCTGCCATACTCTCCTGGGCAGTATAGAGTAATTGTAGTCCTGAGAATCGTATATAAACGGCCTTGCCGATAACAGGTACGTAGTCGCGTAGCACCAGCGATAATAGATTATTCCAAGCATTGTATTAGGTTTCGATAAGTTTGAAGACAGAAAGGGGCATGTAATCACTTGACTAAAGTTCGTATCAAGCAATAAGCCATTGGGGTGTCGTAAAGAATTGAAGCCATCCTACTAAACTTCGAGGAGGCAGATTGCTGGTGGGAAGGTCACGAGGTAATACACAGGTAGATATTTACTTAGTGTATGTTTAGAAGAGGAGGCAGGTGGAAAGATATGAGGCTGCTTGAAGATGAAGTTAAAACAATGAAGCGAACTAAACTTAATTTCTTCTGAAAAGGATTACGACATCGAGGTGTTACGAGTCCAAAGTGGAGCTCCCTAGCTATGTTCCGCCCGTTGCCCTTGCTCTGTACTCTGTACTCTTATTGAATCGAGTGACGTCATTACGACGAATTTATTAAAGATATCAAATCATAACTACGCCTACAAACATTGAATGTATAAACTCTCAATCCCAAACTTCTTTTGACCTACAAGTAACCTGGAAGTTACATTTATTTCCAATTCAGCAACTCCTATCGAAGTCATGTCGAGCTACAAGATTCTGCGTACAGCTCTACGAGCTCGGGCTACTCCCCATCTCACATCCACCACATCCACCACCGTCCGTCTTGCTGCTAGCAGGCAGGTCCACCAGTCATCTGCATTGCGCGCGCCCTACAAAGATGACATGGACCGTGAATCACTTAAGCCCAAATCGCACGAGTACACTCAGGGCGGGACAGACGAAGATGTCGCCACGAAGCAAGACGCCGCTTTCAATCCTAACAAGACGGACCCTGACACCGAAAAGAAGGCTGCTGCGGAGGAGAGCAACGGCAACCCTCTAGAAGAGAGCCCCGCAAATAAAGACTTCGCCGAAGCGAGCAGAGGCAAAGAGGAGGACAAGAGGACTGGTGGGCAGAAGAAGAAGGCTAGTGGTGGTGGCAATGCGCCCAAGAACAGCAAATTGGCTTAAGTACGGGTGCCGAGCTCGGGAGCTCAGGTTCTCCTGAAGCTGTACATATTCGCATTCAGATCAGGAGTTTAGGCGTCTGACCATCCATTGTCATCAACGTATCGCACGAGCTCTATAATGCGGTTAACTCCGATCACGTCTTTTAGTGCATCACTGCAGCCAAGTGTAATGAGTGAATTGCATCTCCCCTGGGGTATCGCCAACTCCATATCTAGTCCTCCGTAGAAGTCCCACCGGCAAATCTCAACCATACAGTCCGTCGACATCATCTTCTTCTTCCTCCTCGTCTTTCGGAATCTCGATGACCTTCTTCTTCGTCAAGTCTTTCCTGCACATAGGACAACTGCCTTTACTCTGTAACCACGGGCCGACACATTCAAGATCAAACCGGTGGCTGCCATGACATGGCAGTTCAACAACCAGCGGGTACGGATCATCTAAGTAATTCTCGGCACAAATTGGACAGCTGTCATCCTGCTTGAGCTGCTTCTTCGGCACGCGGTCCAGGGAATCGAGGTACTCTTGACGGACGCCCGGGATCTGGTCCGGCGGCGCCTGGATGTCGCTCTGTAGTTCGGTCATGAGGCCGTTGAGAAAGGTCCGGTTCTCGGACGTCGGGGCATCTTGGAACAGCGTCGCGAACTGGTCGTGCACGAGGTGGTACAGCCCGGCGACATCCACGGGCGTCGGGCCCACGTGCGAGTGTGCGTTGGAAGCTGGAGAATCTCGAGAGATCTGGTGCAGTTGCGATGTGAAGCTCGACATGTCGGGTCGCCGCTTATGGGGCGGGTGTGCCGGCGCTTTGATGTTGTGCTCGACTGTGCGTGGACCATCGTGTTAGTATAAAATGAGAGGCTTCGTTTTGCGGACACGGCAAGCAAAGCTATTATGGCTTACCTTCGTAGGGATTGTTGGCCATGCTGGGCAAACCGTTTACGGCACTAATGGTGATTCGCCAAATTGGTCCTAAGGGGTGGCCCAAAGGGTGTCTCGATCACTGTATTCTAGGTGAAGAAACGATTATCGAATCGGCCGGTCTACTAATAGGTATGTAAAATAGGCACCTATGAAATGTGAGAGCTCAGGTCTACGTAAGGAGCTTCAGCTAAAATTGCCCCGCGTTGTATGCAAGGCACCATGTGGCCGCGTGGAAATCCAGCTTAGTCAGACATATTCAGATAGCGGGCCCTTACGCATGGTTTATGCAATACTAGTATGGTATGCATATAGGAGAATCCCAAGCTCGTTTCGCTGCTGAGATAATCACGACAAATTCACCCTCTCCCCTTGGCTTGACGCTTTGAGGCTCATTATGACACCGCTCGGACGAGATCAAGCTTGCCTCAAACTTTGGCCCCAAAGTCGAACATATCTAGATTTCTCTTCATACTGATGATGTGATGCAAAGACAGATCGTCAAAATGAACGAAATAGATTCATCATCGAGCTCTGTCGCTACTTATTCCTGATTAGGATAGGTACGTAATATGCGAGAACGCAAAAATAGCACATGCTTCCTGCGTGTAGAGCTCCTAGGATGTCTTAACTGTAGCCGTCGCTAGGACTTTAGGGGGCTATGTCAAGCCACTAATCTGGGTAACACCTCACTTGGCTGCAGCAAGATATCGATATTACCTTACGTTAATTTCCACATGCCATACCTAGGATATTCTTACTATGTACTCACCGCGAGTAAAAAGAACAGTCAGGAGCATCGTACAGATGGTCCCTACTACGTAGTAGTAGTTCTCGATGTTTTGTGATGGAAGTAATGATTTTCTCCAAGCCTCTTTGACCTCCACCCAGGCCAAATTGCAGTGTGATCCTACCTTCGGTGAGTTCCAGCTCGACGCGTGCCGGACTAACGGTATGTCGAAATTTACGACATTCCCTGTCTACGGTATCAATCAACTTACGTGGGCTTATTACGGAACCCCCGAGACCCTACCCCTTCGATTGGTAGTTGTAGGTACGCAGCCAGGGATCAGGAGGCCAAATAACAGAAAAATAACAGCTTTGCATACATGAACCAGTGGACTAGACCTGGAATATCAAGTGTGAATAGTACATGATTTTACGTACACCTACTTTGTTTCGTACCAGAAATGCACTGGCCTACAAGTGGTGTTTGCTTAGGAGTATCTTCAAGGTTGCCTCTTAATCCCTGGCTGTAGGCAACTATCAGTTGAAGACATCCCCAATTCATAGCTCAGATGATCGTTAGCCTGAGACCATTTTATCCGTATTACATGGGGCCCGGTTATCAAGGTTGGATTGTTGCTCAAACCCTTCCAGTTGAGATTATTGCGGTACGTTTCCTGGGCTTTGGCTTTGGCCTCTTCGGCAGGCTAGGTACTACTCCAATTAAAGTAATCCGGAGTAATTACGTGTGAGCCCAACGGGCTGGGGTCCTGTTCCTGGCTTCGATCTCAAAAGCATGGGCCGAGAAGATTGATGCCCAAGCTAGCCGAGGAGCCGCAATGTATCCCCTATCTTGACATGGGCGTAGCGACATTGCTATCTACCAACTAATGCCCCAGCACCATTGTCAATGAATTATTATTCCCATGCCGGAAAAGAGCAGCACATTGTAATAGTTACCACATCAACCCTTTTCTAGTAAATGATGGAGGTCTTGAGTAGGTTTCTTTGTTTTTAATGGATTCATTTGAAGCAAATAGCAATGGTTGAATGACCAGCTCGCGGAATTCACTAAAGCATGAGACGCAAAATTCCTATAAACAAACATAGCCATCAGAATTTCCACGTGCGGCCATAGGACCTGGAGAATTCGGGATCCCATCCGCTCTCCCATAGATAAGCTAGGTAAGTCGGTGACGACCAGCGAATCCCCTGGCATTGAACATTTATTTGGTTCCTTTTCATAACTCCCTAGCTCTTCAGCCACCTAATTTTTAGCTAGTTTCTCGACTTGTTGCGAGTTCATATCATGAACATACCAGGCACACGATTTGAATCTCGTTGAAACTGTCCACACAAACAATATCTACCTTTCAGCTCGGAACATCACTAAAGAATATTAACGATGGGTTATTTTGTACCTATTGTCAGGTTTTCTAATCTCAGGATAGAAGAACAATATGCCCTTCTTAAGGAACGTTTATAGCTAAACTGACAAATGGTTATGCCGGTAGCCTCGCGTACGATCATGAAATATGGCACATATATAAGTAGACTGGAACATGATTATTCGCGGCAACCATCTTAGATTCGGATAGAATCCTGACAATGAAATCATGTATATTTCATTTTACCTTACTTGCATTTATATCTGAATTTTACATTCAACGCACCCTCTATCACATGATATACCTTAAAATGTCTCCTTGAGGAAGGGACAAAATTACAATGACTTTAACTAAATCTCACCGATGATTCATATATTATCATGGTTCCAACTACCTAGAAGTTAAAAGATGTTGGTTCTAGTAATATCGTCGCTATCCCTTTGATTAGCAGTTATTTACAGCCAAGGATAATGAGGCAAAATACAATTTCACATGGCCGTATGGACCAGAACCAGAATATAGAAAAGCTACCTATGATCAATATTTTCCCCCTTGTACCAAATGTACCTCAATGTGCTCATTTGCAAGTGGTGCTCCTAGTCGACCAGAACCAAGCTTTCATGGGTTCTTAGGTGTACTTTCCTTCCTAATCCTTAACTGTGGGCAACTGTTCTTCAAGGGGATGATAATTAAATAATTTAGCAAAGTTGGGTGTGAATACATCTCGTGTGGTAGCTAGTGGGCACCATATATCAGGAATTGCGTAAGAAATCCAGGAAGAGGCTTTTGATGGGTTATATGCATCTTTGAAGTGAAGGGATGTTTCAGTTAACCCTTCATAGGTAGGTAGGTACCTAGATCAACATGTACCTCAGCTTTTTGCTGGATACCATCACGGCGCTGATGATTATTCATAGCATCATTTCCTGATAAATACTAGGTAGATACTGTGGTTTCACATTCTTCGGGATATGGGAGGACTGTCTGTGGATGCATCAACTTTCGTTGTAGGACCATATGAATGGGGTTTGTTACAGAAGCGAGTCACTCACATGGTTAAAAGATTCCACATAGATTAGATCATTCTCAGGAAGTTGAACAAATACAATACTTTCACTCACATCTCTCTTTATTTGCCCTTAAGCCAATATGTCGAATTCTAGAATGGCAATACCTACCTAGACGGCCTTGTCGGTGTGTTCGAGCCCACCATCCCGGACCTATTAATTTCTGAAAGAGCCGCATAATACATTGAGTTCATGCAAACTTAGGTAAAGGGTTCTTATACCTACCTAAAGCTCAACCATATCCGTTTTTCTCGCGAACTGAGATATGAGATAGACGAAGATAGCTCTTTGTTTAACTTGGTTATGTTATAGGGGATGTGTGTTACGTAAGCGAGCCCCTGAAATATGGTTGATACCTAACACCACCATGGTGTGGAAGATAACCTACAAGGTCCTAAATAACGTATTTAGTTACGACTGCTCTTCTTGAGCAAGTGTTTATCATAAACGTGCTATACTTATTTGCATATGACGTTGGAAGTATTGCTGCTTGTCAGTCTATGGGAATTATATTGATTCGTCGTTAAATAGTGAATAGCCTCACCTAGGTCCTTCATAGAGTTGCAACCAACCAAAAATCAACCAACGTGGGTCGCAGATTCTGATTGGCGAACCTACTTTCCCGGCATATATAATCCTTGTCTAAGGCTATCAGATGCGTGTCCCGAACTTTGAGACTTGGGAAGTTTAGCTTCATCTTCTACCGACAAATATGGATTCACTTTAAAAACTTTACCATCATCTAATCTTAAGGAGATAATAGCTAGGTAGGCACTAGATCTTACGCCAAGGAATCTTATCATGAATACTAAAAGATCAGTTGAAAAGGCTGACGGAATATAGAAATCCAGTACTATGTTATCAGCGCTGTGCCGTTGCCAAAGTAATTCTGAATGCCAAGACTTCCGACATGGGAAAGACGCAATAGTTTGGGACTGGTTAGGGAACTAATCTAGATCACCACCTGGGCACCTTTAGACCTGTCATTAACCTAGTCCAATACAACGTTATATGTACGTACTTTTAGCTCGTTGCAGCCTGGCTTTGTACCAGTAAATAGGCTGTCGATAGGATCCGTAACGATAATGCGATTCCGCTTGCTAGACGGAACCAGAGCCTTGTCGGTATGGGTGGTCGCGTCGCATCGCCTTACCTACTAGTGTAGTCAAACGGCTTGCGTGATATCTAGTGCCTCCCACAGTAAGACAGCATAGACTACAAAAGGGAATATCATGGTGAAGCTTTTGAGTGCAAGCGCAGGTCATGATCAGACATACTTGTCAAAAATTACGCGTAGTTTTGAACTTGTAGCCACTTGGCGTAGATGGTATTCTTCAAGATGTCCATCGTGGAAAACCATTTCAAGTCTCTGGTTAGGCCAGGATTGAGAAAACTATCTCAAGGCAAACCAAGCACCTGGGAAAGGTTCTGGAGAATGACTAGACATGTCTCTTGCGATGAAGGTGTAAACCCCTTCGTGGCATGTAAGCCTGGATATCTTTTTTTCGTGGCGCGCTTGAACATCAAATTCCAATCACATAAAACTCTTCTCCCGCCTCTTCCGCGTAGCCCTTATCTCCTTCTGGAGGTCATGTTTGTATTACGGCAAAGATCATGCTGGAAGAGATACTTCCATCACGTAATCGTATCTGAGAAAGGGAAAGCTGGGATATGATTGAGGATTCGACTATTAAGTTCCCGTTCGTTCATATTGAAATGTATCTTGTGAGCTATTCGTGGCTGTATCGAATTCGACGCCCTGAGATTTATCTAGCTCAAGGCAACTTCTAGAAAAAGAATCAGTCTATACCCATTGCCATAGGTGGGTAGGCAGATAGGGAGTAACAGAGATCCAACCTACAACCTTTTTCAAGGGGGAACCAAAGGAGCGTGTTCTTTCTGTTGGCCTAGGTCCATCTATCTGCGTTCTGAGATATGATCTTACGAAATTGTAAGTTCTCTTTAGGGACGGAAGCTTCGTAGAAAGGTCTTATTAAAATCCCGCGGCGCTAGACCCGT